ATTCATGCCATACGCCGGTATCAGCGATATAACCCTAAAGCATAGTAAATAACAACCTCCCTGTACTGATAATATTCCTAGAACCGGCGACATGTCAGTTTCTATCTATATTAACAGTTGTGTTGCAAAACACGACAAGAGAAAGGAATTTATTGTATTCTACAATCCTTCATAAATTGTAACATTACATGGATATTAACAAGAATGGCCGTACGTGCGCAATTGCATATTATATATGTTCCCTTTTTCCTATGTATTCGCCTTGAATTTTCTTGATTTCATCGACCTACCTAGCTTGTTAAAAAATTAACCATCAAGGTTAAACAAAGCTCATACTTAATTAATTAATGTACTCGTGAGTACGTACGTACCGTAGAAAAGCATAGATAATTCCAAGTTTAAAGAGTGAATGTCCTCGTATTAGCCTCTCAACGAAGCTTCACAGTTTTTAGCATCTAGAGAGAGAGAGAGAGAAGAGTATAAATTAATATTCATTTACATAAACAAATGTTGAGCCACATTATATTGTTGATGAATATCTAACAAGAAGAATTCATAAATTAATCAAGGTGGGATGCAGGAGATGTCTTATAGTTTCACAACACCAACATACGAGGAGTTATTGCATTGTTGAAATTACAATGATTAACACAACAATGAAAGTTTTCTGGGGTGGGGAATGATGGGAATTGGGAGGGCATGTGTACTAATCAAGATCTACTATATTAATTTGCTACAATTAAAATTCTTTAAATATATGTTATGAAATTGTTTGTAATCATCATTATTGTTTGCTCTAACGATCTATCCAGAGCAAGCTAATTGGTGATTTTGGATGGAAATATAAATGAAAATATATGTAGCAGTTGTTTTGTTGTATCTTGATTTTGTTACATTTGTGACCATTTTGGTACTCGTCTAGACTATGTGAACAATGTCATCAATTATCTCATTAACATTTGTCAGTTCTAATTAGGGATGTGCAACGGTTCGGTCCGGTCAGGGCCATACCAATCTCATGAGTATCACGGTTCTTTAGTGAAAGTTATCTTTGGACGAAGGACCGGACCATCATTGCATTCGGTTCAATCCAAATATCATCAATTCGGTCCATGTTTTCTTTAGTAATTATAAAATTCATAGGACCAGTGGTGGAGCTAGATTGAAGCTAGCGGGACTTGACTTGTAGATAAAATTACATGTAGAATTTGCACAAATTTATGAGTTAGAATAGTCAAACAAAACTTTAAGCTCCCCTCTCCCAATTACGACAATTCAAATCAGTCCTTCTCGATTCAGTATGATCCGATCTAAACATCGATTTGATAATGATCCGGTACGGACCGGACCATTGCTTCGAGCGATTAAAGGAAAAAAAAGGTGACGGCGGGGTCTGGAAATGAATATGTAGGTTGTGTTTGAAGAATGAAGATATCGAATTAGGGGTTTTTATCAAAGATATGGTTCCTTCCAGATAGGCTTAGCTTGCTAGCTGGACGTATAATTTCCTCCTAGTGGCTTTCTTGCGTTAATGAGACGGCGCCGGCATCAAGCGCGCTAGCGGCAGGCGCCACCATTGTATTCATTCACTTCTATTCTGAAAGATCCGCCACCCACACACAAATAATATATAATACGGTAAAGAATAGTATTCCTATATTTTAGGAGTATAGTATATTTCAGGTAATCTGATAATTAGATGTATTTTGATGAGTTTCGACCAATCTCAACGATTATCTAATTAGTTTCTATTAAATTGGACTAGCTAATCATGGCCAGGGGCGGAGATAGTCCATTGTTAGGGGGTTCCACGGCACCCCTTAATTTGGAGAAATCACAAAAAAAAAAATTAGTAGTATTAATATACCAATAATGAACAAAGAACCCCAAATCTCATTGTTAATTGGCAATTTTATAGTATCCAACCACGATCGATTATATGAAATTAACCTAACCTACTAATATCTATATTAATATAGTTTATCAAGATGGGTATGACTTGCGGATTATTAGAGACAATGCAGTCAAAATCGCGCTTTAAAACTTAAAAACTTAGGATTTTACGCTTCTAAGTCATCAAAACGCTTTCGTTTCCATATAAAATCTTTAGTGTACAAAATCGGACTAAATTCCGTTTTAAAGCTTAAAAGTTTACGCTTTTACGCTTCTAGTTCACCAAAAACACTTTACGCTTCTAGTTTACTAAATGGATATTCTTTTACATGAAATTAATTATAAAAATTATATTTTAAAGGTAAATCACCAATAGTATGATGCATTTGAAATTAAAAGATACATACCAGGTCTTGGATGCATTCTCAGTTTCAATAATGTAATCTAATTCACAAGTTTCCAAATTCATTAGCATAGAGGGGGTGGTGGCTTATTGTTAAGATCTATCTTTATGAACTTATTGTTAAGATGCCATGAATTGCTCTGCTTTAGACATGAATAGCAAGTATTTATTAAGTTATCTAAATTATGTGCACTCATATTTTACATAGTATATATTGTACTTAACATATTTTAGCCATTTTACAGTATGTTTCAAAAACTTACGCTTTGATTCAACGCTTTACGATTTTATCCCTTTTCCGCTTTTAGGTAGAATCGCGCTTTTGACTGCATTGATTAGAGAAAATCAATAACTTTCTATGATAACGATAGTCGGAAGAAAAAATTAGTTCCCATCAATGTATGTGCTTCTGAAATTAGGTTTAGTTTGCTATTATCTGTTTTCAATACACATGTTAGTATAATATTTTCTGCAATGTAATAGTTGACCATCCTAATAGAGTTAATCGAAATTAGAAATCTCACTTGGAGTGTACGATACTCCATGTACTGCTAGTGAGATATCTCTATATAAACCATGAATTAAATCAAATTTGATGTATGGTACTATACCCTAATTACTAATTGATAAACCCTAGACCCAAATTCGGTAAATCCAAACCCCAAGTTCAAATTAATAGAAAACACCAATGAACCCGTTGAAATTGGTCAGAGATTATCGAAATACATCTAACACATATCATGTGTAGGGTACACTATACTCCTAGAGATGTGCTATGTGCCTATGTTTGCATTTCCTCTTACAAACCTAACACTCTCTCTCTCTCTCTCTCTCGTACATCTCCCCTAAATAGTTTATTCATGTATATAGTATCGTTTCCATCGATGAAATTAAACTAAAATCCACACTTCTTTTTCATTGTTCTCGCCTGATTTTGTTGTCTTCCTTTGTCATCGATAAAAGCTATGAGCTTACCTTGTGGATATGAAGCAGGGGGTGATCGAGTAAGCAAGCTAGCTAGCTAGCCTTCCTTCTATTATAATAATAATAATTATTATTATTATTATATTTATTTATTTAATTTTAGAAGTTTTCGTCATATGTTTCACAACACGAGATCATTGACTACGTAACGTACGTACTAACAAGTATACATACATGATATAAAACAAGACAAAATGGTCACCGGCCGGCCGTTAATTAGTATATAGCTAGCTATAAGGTAGAAAAGGATCCAAATTTTCTAATGATTGATTAGCACGAATGGCAAGAAATCTAAAGTATAGTCAATATATTCGGAATTTCGATAATAACATTAGAACTTTACTTTTTTATGATTGAGAATGGCTATCACATTCTCGTCAAATCTTTTTATTTTTATTTTTCCATGACACTTCAACCATATTAAACTCGAATGTTTCCAACTCGCTAAACACAACCAACCAATATCGAAATTGGAGCAATATGTAAATTGTCAAGAACCAGTTGGTCCCAATAACTCGAGTTATTGGGAGAGGTTCAATGGTGGATCATATACCACAACATTAACACGCTCCCTCAAACGAAAGCCACTCACAAGGGTTTGAAGTTTGCACAGGTCTGAAGACAAGAATACCATGTGCTTAACAAATGGGGTCACCGGGAATCGAACACAAAACCTATCGGTCACAGAAGGCTCTGATACCATGTCAAGAACCAGTTGGTCCCAATAACTTGAATTATTGGGAGAGGTTCAATCGTGGATCATATACCACAACACTAACATAAATTGTTCTCTTTCGACTCGTGCATGCCAATGGCAAGAAATCTAAAGTAATGATCGGTTTTCCCCTCCCCGGCCATTTCGCGGCGACCGGCCGCCGTCGCTGTCCATGCAGGCAAGAAGATAAGCAGAAGCAGAACGGCAGGGGCGTTTCTGTACTTTCCGTGCAGAAATCTGATTTTTTCCTTATTAAAAATTGGTACAGCTCCTGTAAGCATGACAAAAGCTGACTTCACAGCTCTTTGTTTAATTGCGAAGAGTCAAATTACTGTACAACCCCCCCTGCTTGGACTTCCCTTTTGTACCTACCAACCGTACATTACCATTTCAGTAACCCCAAAATAATTTCATTTTGTTCCTTTTCGTCGTTGTAGGACATCGAAAGACCAGATTGCCCCCCCTGGGAACATTGCGTGCCCGTACCAAATTGCCCTCTGCACCGTCCAAATTATATAATCAGGATAAGTAAAATAAAGAAAATGAGCATAAATACTCTCACTTCAATTATATAAATAGAGATATCTACTTGTTGTTAACCATTGCATCACAAGGTAGCCAGGATTTCAATTAAGATGGGTCTAACGAAGAAAATTAAAACATATAGCATAAATTTTATTATTATTTAAATAACCCATGGCATATTTTCATAGTTTGTCGATTGATTTTTATTTGAGAATGGAGAATTAGACACTAAATTAGGAATTAGTAAACTCAAAACAAATAGTTATAGACACTAAATTAGAAATTAGTAAACTCAAAACAAATAGTTATAGAACAATCTCATGTTAAATTTAGAGTTATTCACTTAATATGCACGGTTAATGTGTGTCACAATGTTCTCTACAAGCTAATGATGGACAAGTAAAACTAGTGCACATGAAGTATATTGTTTGAGTATTGCGAATTGTATACAAATATCGTAATTTTTTGTGTCTTAATATGAGCCAGGGTGGGTCCCGGGACCCACCCTATCCTAAGTTGGCTCCGCCACTGACCACAAGTAAATACGTAAAAATAGATCAAAATAAGATTAAAGAATCGTCGAAAAAGCATTTTATAATTGGTTCGTCGTGTTAATTTTGGAAGTAAGAGAACGTCACAACTCGAAACCAAAAAAAGATAGGTCAAATACTCAAATGGTAAATAGTTTGACAAAACTATGAAATAGACTGAACATTTCAAAAATCATGTTTGCACATTTTCACACGCCTAAAGCTAGGATTAGCTATGGCAATTTCGACCTAACCCGTTTTACCCGATTTGTTTGATCTGTTTTGAAGCGCGGTGGGCATTCGAAAAAGACATAGAGGTGGTGTGAATTTAAACCCAAATCTCTCCACATTTTTATAAGCAAGCCAAACATGAGTATTTGAGTTAAAAATTATGCAAATGGGAGATTAAATTAGACCCAAATCCCACATCCAAATTATCTATAATGCTTAAACTGTATTCATCGATTGTATCCTAAATGTGCACTTAAACCAATATTATTTTTAGGGATTAAAATGCGGGTATTGAACCATTAATCTCCTTTTTTATGTTATTGTTTGTGTATTTTAATGTGGAAAGAAGTAAAACGAAATATCATAATAACCCTTAAGAGAATAACTAGAACTATAATAAAAGGGTTAAATTCAAACTAAACCGTCATAGCTAATCATCAACCAGACGGTTAACCAAAGAAGAAGTAAAGGAAGGAACAATAAACAAACAAAGAAGAGGAAGAAGAAGAGAATGGATTATTGATGTGGTTTAGTGCGTTTAAGGGGAAGGATTTCAAGGAGGGCGCCAAAAATACCCAAAATTAACCGATTGAAGGACACCCATGAACGTTTCTTTGGGAGACAAATAGCGTCAAAACAAGGAAGGAAAGAGCTTGAGTCTGGTTCACGCCAAGCCCCCCAATTTGGCCACAGAAGAGAGAGAGAGAGAGAGAGAGATGGAGGCTTTGATTCCTTCTTTCTTCCCTTTCTTCTGATTCTCCCATTTCTCTTTCCCTTCTTCCTCCGTCACCCATTCCTTCCTATAAAGAACCCCTTCCCCACACTTTCCCTCTCAACCATCTTCCACAACCCTCTCTTCCTTTCCTTCCCCCTGTTTCTGTCTTAAAGTTGGGAGCTTTACCCATTCCTTTCCCAGCTACCCTTTTCCCCTCTCTGGAAGTCAAATATGGAGAAGCACAGCTTCGTGAAGAATGGCGTCCTGAGGCTGCCACCTGGCTTCAGATTCCACCCGACTGACGAAGAACTCGTTGTTCAGTACCTGAGGAGGAAAGCCTACTCCTTCCCTTTGCCGGCCTCCATTATCCCTGAAGTCGACGTCTGCAAATCCGATCCCTGGGACCTGCCAGGTCAGCTCAAAATACATGTTCATTCATATAATTAAGCAAGGATAAGATAGATGAGCAGCCTCAATTAGAGGTTGGGGGAACCAAACGTTTTCGTGATCAAGTACTGAGAGAGCGCTCTGTTTCTGTCTTGTGTTCTTGTGGCAGGGGATTTGCAGCAAGAGAGGTACTTCTTCAGCACCAAGGAGGCCAAGTACCCGAATGGGAACCGTTCGAATAGAGCGACTGCCTCGGGTTACTGGAAGGCCACAGGGATCGACAAGCAAGTTCTGGCTTCCAAAGGGAATTATGCTGTGGGGATGAAGAAGACCCTGGTTTTTTACAGAGGGAAGCCTCCCCATGGAACTAGAACTGATTGGATCATGCATGAGTACCGCCTGCTTAGTCCTGAAACTACTGCTCACGCCAACAACAACAACATCTCAACTCATCAGGTAAATTGGGTTTTCAAAATGAGAAGGCAAAAAAGCCTTCAACTTCATGCATGAACTGGAGAAATGGGAAATGCATTAGTTTAACAATATCTGCAATTCTTTTTCCTTGTTGCAGAGCCCTGTTGTGCCAATGGAGAACTGGGTTTTGTGCCGGATTTTTTTGAAGAAGAGGGGGGCCAACAACAAGAACGAGGAGGAAACCAGAAGCAGCATTCAAATTGGGGACCAGAAAAATGGGATAATCATTCCTTCCCCCAACCCCAAAACTGGGACTACCACTCCTACTACTAGAAAGGTTGTGTTCTACGACTTCATGAGAAAGGACAACAGCAGTACAAGGGATTTGAATGTTGTTCCATGTGGATCATCTTCGGGATCAAGTGGGATCACAGAGGTTTCGAGTGATGAACCAAAAGAGCATGAAGAAGAAGAAGAAGAAGAAGAACACAGCAGTAGCAATTGCCACAACAGTTTTCCTTATTTCAGGAGAAAACCATAGAAAGACCCTCTTTTTTTCACTTACCACCCACTTCAGAATTACCCTGTTTCCAGTTCTCTGTATCAGTAAAGATCCATCCCAAGGCTTATTTCTAGTTTCAGAAGTAACTTATCTTGAGTTTGTTCATTTGATTCCCTCCCATGTACTAATGAAAATCAGTCTCTAGACAGCATTGTTAAGTTAACTGTTAATCAGATCAGTTATGAATGTAATCAAAACCAGAACTTCACCCATCTATTAGTCTGTGTTATTTACTTTCATGCATATGACACAATATGGTGGTTTTGGAGCTGAACTTGGTCAGGGATTGTGTAAGGCTTACGTTATCTCTGATTCCAACAGCCGCATGAGCGTGCGAAATTCACACACTTTACCTAAAGGGCTGCACGAAAAGAAAAGTCCTCTTTTTGGGAGGAACATTGTCAAGAATGAGAACCCTCAAGCAGCTTAGCATCAGAATACGGGAATGTCATTCTTTTAGGCAAAAGATTGCTGCAAGTCAGCTTCACTAAACTTCACATGCAGCAGAAGGAAGGAAACTTGTGGGGAAAGCAAATTGTACATTTATTTAACTAGGGAGAACCAAATTCTTCAATATCTCGAATCTCTATGTAGATGGTATCAGAAAAGCTTGAAAGACACTCAATTGCATGCAACTGGAGAACTGTAGTAGCAGTAGCAGTGAGGGTGGAAGAATCTCAAGAGGAAGGGGGAAAAACAGACATTCTTTCTTGCAGCAGTTCATAGATATCTGCAAAATCTTTTTTTGGGTGGGTTTTGGCTGCTGCGGCTAATTTTAATAATGTCAAACTCTTGAGAATAATAAGAAGAAACATAATAGGGTATGTTTGTTGCGGGGAACAGGGTTAACAAGAAATTCAAATTTCGAGACTGGTAGGTTGGAACATGGAGACTTGAACGAGTAATAAATATATATATTCATAACTTAAATATTTGATGTTATTGTGTGTTAAAGTAAAGAACTTGGGGAGAAGAAAAAGAAGATTGAGTCTTTAGCAAGGGAAGCATCTGAACACGACCTGGAATCCAAAGTTACAATGACTTTTACTTGTGGAAGTGTGTGTAGATTGATTTATGTCTCTTTGTATTATGCTTGCAAGAGAACCCTTTTGATTAAGTTTAAGTAAAAACACATTTTTATCAAATTACTTTCCAGCAGCAGCAGAACCATAAAAGTGACTCTTTCCTGTGTGTGTTTTGTAAGAATGTGATTCTGCTAACTAGTTTCCAATGCTTGCAGCTTTGACTTTAATCTAGAACCAAAACTCAGACAAAAAAGACAACATTTTTCAGTTCCTTCTCTCTTCTTTACAACTCGTTTGATTAACCAACCTAGTTCGAGCAGAATAAGATCGCAAGTGTAGCAAAACTCTCTCTACCAAGCAATACAATACGGCTTAGCTCCTAATCACACAAACATGCAGCTGCAGGTGGGGAGGAAGGCTGTTTAGTAACCTAATTAAGTTAAGGTATGATATGGTTGACTCACCCATCCAAATCAAAGATTTAATAAGTTAAGAAACTTTCATAAACTATGTTTTTAACTTTCATAAACTAATAATGCAAGACAAAAGTTAAGTGATAACTTAGCACTCATGAAAATGGTGAAATTATAGAAAAACACAAAACTTGTAAGTTAGGTTGTCAGCTTACACAAACTATGTATACAAGGATGATGTCACAGGGGGTAGGGGGAGCAAATGAGAGATGGCCAAGTGGACGCCGGATAGTCAATGGGCGGCAATTAGTAAACCTTGATTATGTGGGGATGATGTGCTAATTGGCATGCTATAACAGGGGGAGTGGGGGCAACAAAAAAAGATAATTAATTTATAGTTTGATGTATAATGATGAGATAATAATAATAAGTATATTGTATGATATGAAAGATCAAAGCTCTAGTAATAAGCCGACCAGAGTTTCTTGTGACAGTAGGTTTAGGAAGGGGGCCTAAATGCTGTTGGAGTTCTTCACGTCACTTTTTCTATATATAATGAATAAGTAAATGGAGTTTCACTTTCATGGCAGATAGAAAAATGGGTTAATAACACTTTTGGTCCACAATATTACGTTGATATGTCCACGTACAGCACCATCTATTCTAGAACATGTTGGTTTGAGTTATAAGGACGAAGACGAACTTGCTGAACATGTTTTCCTTAAAGGGTTTAGAAGAAATGAACTAGAAATAGATAAACATGGTATATGGACTTGTTTGCTAAAATAACATAGTACAGGGACTGTAAAGTTATTCACCCAAAAAGTAGAGAGAGGATTGGTTCGGGTTGGGTTGTGGATTGCTGACTTGTGGAACTCCTCCCATGGATTTGTCAATCACGTGGGCAGCCCCTCAAAGTCGACCACACGCACACACCACCAAGAAGAAGCAAAGCCAAAGAGAGATCAAAAGCAACAACCTTTCAAGGTCAATCACTAATTCATTTCCCTTTCTTCTAGCAATTCCAAATTCTCTATTCCTTTCCCATCTCATCATCCTTAGATCCCACAAAACAAACAAGCCTAATACCAGTACTCAACCATCCACAAATCCCTACAGCACAAAGGGACAGTTTGGTCCCTTGATATAAAATTATCATCTTTAAATAGGCGAAGAATACAGCAGGAAATTATGATAATTCTTATGATATTTAGTCGAGTAATGCATATTAACGGCATATCAGGTACCACCAGACTAATACAATTACCATACACAATGTGGAATATTGACTCTTTCCCTGGACAAACCCCACTCCTTTAAATGCAGTTTTCTTTGGACAAATTCAAGTTCCTCAGAGAAAGGGGTTGCTTGGTATCTCTGCAACAAGGACATCTGCACTATATTTTAAGCTGATAGACCCACATTCAAAGCAATTTGCTTTCTCTTCTTATCAACAAATACCAATCTAACCCTCTACAAAAAGAAATAGTTCATGCTAATGGGTCCCTTGAATTATCAATGCTCACATGGCCCCCTCCTCTCCTCTCCTCCATCACAACCACCAACAGTTGCAGATGCAATATGAAATATGCAGACTGTGGTCTATCAATATATCAACCCTAATTAAAGCCCATTCAATCTCCACAAGCTACCTCTTCCTTCACCAGCCTAAGAATCTCCCAGCTAACCAACATAAATAACCCCAGTTGTTCTTTCCCATTCGACTACGCTAGACCATGCAGGCCTGTCTCTGAACCGTTAGATGATGAGGGGCGCTTTCGAAATGATCAGAGACGATGAGGGCATTTCGGGAATCCATAGATCGAAACACACAAAAAGTAGATGAATTTGAGAATTGAAACCGAATGATCCAATTCAGTCAGCCCGATGTTGCCTAACCCTCTACCCAAGTAGGTGTTACTAGCTAGCTAGCTAACTAGCTCTACAATATGGGGGAACAGTCCCAAAACAACTCCAACCCCATGGCAGTTGTTGAAACTCATGCAACTAATTTCTGCCTTGAAAGGAAAACTCTCTAGACACCAAATAAGTTGAGTTGGATAGTAGTTTTAAAAGGGCATGTGTTTTGCCTACTGGAGAGGGTTGCTTGCTTGTCCTGCATACTGCTGAGTTCATTGAGATGTGAAAACAGTATGGTGGGCAGCAACTACCCTCTCCTACTTGAAAATTTTGTAGCTTCCGGTTCCAGCCATATGCCGTACGCACAAAGCAAACTATATTCTGTATGCAACTACAAAACATATATGTGGACAAATAGACATCGCATTCTCAAACAGATGTATATATTGGCACCATGTCAACGACTTCAGAAAATTAAATAAATAAAAAAGCTTTCACCTTTGAGCAAAGCAAACTGAAACTGAGTCAATACACACATAAATTAAAGCAAGTAGAGGGAACACTACAACAGGGACAGGCAAGAAAGAAAGAAAGAAAGAAAGAAGGGGAACAGCTTCAGATTCACAAAGTTGTAAAGAAGTGACAGCATATGAAAGAGAATTGTTCAAAGTTTCTATGTTCCATGTCAAAATCTGTTCTCTCCTTCTCTTAGCCCCTAGAGATGGGGATGGGACTCTAGAATGGGGAATTTTTTCAACCTTTTATTTTCGGCGGAAGCTGGTGTCCACACTACTCTATCCAAAATCTCTCCTCCTTATATGGACCACAACAGCTTGTGATACTATTCAGCGTTATCCATCCCACCAATAGAAGTTATTGATTCCTCAAGAAAAAGATCGATCAAGATTCTACTGTCAAAAATCTAACCAAGATTTCTGATTGTCCACAAAAGTAACTTACTTCCATCTACGCTAATAGGGGTGATAGGAACAATTCATCCATGTTCTACTGTTCATAATGAAGGCAGCAATCCCCGTTAGTAACTATCAACCTGTAGTGCTTATCTTATCATTAACAATTACACATGAGATTTTATGTTCTTGTTATTTGCTGATAAGAAAACAGGAGAAGGTGAAGTGGTTCAGTTTTTTATTAACACAGAAAGGGTGGAAGCTTTGATGTCCAAAACTAAAAGTTGTGTAACAACTTACAGTATAATATAGCAAGAAGAAGCTCCTATGGGATTCCTACTTGGCCAATATATCCCTGTGCCATGCCTCCAAGAAAGCTTCCTTCTGCAGCAAAGAAGTGTTAAACATGGATATCAACCCATTTAGACAGATCAAGGAGACACTTGGGACTACGTCCCTTCAACAACTAAAAAATTCAAGAATTCAGGTTCACCATAGTTTTGACACGTGTTACAAACAATAAACAAGATATTGTAGTAGTTCCACAATGCTACTAGTTAACTTTGGTATAGGAGAATCAGCACTGGTGCCACTTAATGCATGTATCTTGTCAAATGCTCACAGAACATATGAGTATCATACTCAAAGGTGAACCTTTTCGGGAATCCTATAATCTTTGGAGAGAGAATTACAATATTATGCTGCAAGCTTTCAATTTTCTCAATCGCACATGAACTAGGCTCTATTGATTGATCCTTTGACAGAAACCCAGAGGAGGGGAATCTTAGACAAAGCCTTCTCTGAATCGAAAATTCTGGACCCATGAAGATGGAAGAATTGTTGAAAAAACAATTGACGAGGAAACGTTCAAGCTAGGTGTTTTTTACTCCACTAAGCAAAGACGAGAACTGCTTATCGCAGTGCATTTTAAGCGATACCCTTGTACAGGTAAAAACAGAATGCCGGCGAAAATCGACAAAGCAAATCCATTTAACGTACAAGAGAAGTGGGAAAGGGGGGAAAAGGGAAATCGTGAAGTGATTATTACCTTGAAAAGGGAGAAAGTGAAAGAAGATTGAAGAGCTTTCAACCGGAGCTTTGAGTGGCGGCCGGGCGGGAATCCTGCTTCCGCCATGATTCTGCGTCTGCCGCGGCGACTAGGACTGGGGAAGGCCAAATTTTGGGCCTCAGTGATGCCATTTGATTATTTGGGCTGCCGGTTATTAAATGGTCCAAAACCAAAGCCGACGCAGTGCTCAGGGCTTAAGTTCCTAACTGGCCTTATTTTTAGCCCAATAAAGTAAGATTCAATGTGAACGAAAAAAAAAAAAAGAGTTAATACCTTATTTTGGTCCGAACTATGATCATATAATCAATTTTGGCACGTGGTTTCAGAAATTAATATATTGGCCTCAACTATGCAGCATATAGACTAAATTGTCCCGACCCATGCTTTGACCGTCAATTTGGATGGTCAACACGCCATGTCATTGCGTAGTCAGCCTAAAAATCATTAAAAAAATTGAAATTCAAATTATTTTTCTAATTATTATTATTTATCATTTTCAAATCAACCAAAAAATAAAACTCAAAAAATATATAATCAAATTTATGTTTTATCTTTTGGGATAATTGAAAATGATAAATTTTATAAATTAAAAAAAAATTATTAAATTTAATTTTATAAATGTAGGAATTATAAAAAAAAACATGAACCAAAAAATAAATTTTCTAATTCAAATTATTTTTAAATTTTTATTATTTATCATTATCAAATTAAATAAAAACATAAAATAATATAAAAATAAATTTTACATTTTCTTTTATTGGTAATTTTAAAATGAACAATTTTATAAATTAACAAAAATTATCAAATTATAATATATTTTTTAAATTATGCAAATATATATATATATATATATATTATTTTTAAAAATTTACCATTTCCAAATGTGCCAAAAGATAAAACATACAATTTTTTTATATTTTATTTTTTGGTTAATTTGAAAATGATAAATAATAATAATTAGAAAAATACAGGACCACACAATACCACCCAATACCACCCTGGTATGGGGTCGTATCTCGTGATACAAAATGTTGAAAGTCGTAAATGACAATAAGTATTTACCTACTATTATGTATTCAATCATCTTACAGTCTTGGTATGTTCATACCACCATGGTAAGTTTTTTCATGTCATATGGTATGCTCTTATTTAATTCCAGTCAATACCATATGGTATATACTAGTAAAAATGGCTCAATTTTTTTGTTCCAAAAATTTATCAAAGTGGATATCATTTTGAAGAGCACAATTAATATGATCTAACTTTGCAAAAAAATTAAATTCCGACTTAAAACGAGTGAGAATTCGTCCATTAAAAATTAAGGTGGAAAAATTAATGGCTTTCCATGACAGAAAAGGTGCGTTGATGTGGCGGATGATGTTTGAGTTATGCATGGTTACTTACCATAAGGTTATGCATAGGAACTTCTCCCAATATAAAGAGGTTCGTCATGAGCAAGATGTTTAATTAAAAATTTCAAGCTTTTTTATTGAATTTAGGAAGAAAGTTTTTTGTATTTTTAATTAATAAATACCCAGAAAGAAGACTTTGTTAATTATGCTAATGGAAAAAAATTCTTGGAATTTTTTTAAAACCAATTATTAGATTATTAATTAATTATTTTATTATAAGGTTGTGCGTGTCATGTGTCAATGTGGCGTAGACATTTTAGTAGAAAAAATCACAAAGCGCATTAAATCATGGAGAGCCAAGAAACTCACATATGCAGGAAGGCTACAGCTCCTGAACTCAGTGCTTCTTAGTATAGTCCAGTTTTGGATGCAATTGTTTGTACTGCCTAAACTAGCTTTGAAGAGAATCCAAAAAATATGCTCGCAGTTCTTATGGCATGGTGTCACAGAAGGCAGGGCAAAGGTGGCTTGGGAGTTTATCTCTCTGCCAAAACAGGAAGGGGGTCTAGGAGTGAAAGATTTAGGAGCATGGAATCAGGCCTGTTGTACTAGACTGCTTTGGTTATTCCTATTGAACTCAGGGACCCTGTGGGTAGCATGGATGCAAGAGTATAAATGCAAGAATTTAGACTTGTGGTCAGTAAAGGTGCAAGCAAGCAGCTCTTGGGCCTGGAGGAAACTGTTAAAGCTAAGGGTGGTTATCTTTCCCTGGATGAAGAAGCAGAATGGTATAATACACTGGGACTCAAAAGAAATGATGGTCTATTCTACACGAAGGGTATGGGAAACCCTGAGGCACAAGGCTCCCAAAGTTCCATGGTACAGTTTGGTATGGGGCAAGAATTGTCCACCTCGCTGTAGTCTGATAGTCTGGTTGATAGTTAAGAAGGCTATAGTTACAAGGGATAGGTTGCTGAGATGGGGCAAAATCAATGATGCATCATGCCAGCTTTGCAACTCTTCAATTGAAAGCAGAGAACACTTGTTTGTCCACTGTCCGTATTGGAAAAGTCTTGCAGAGGAGCTGAAGTGTGCAATGCTGCTGCGACCTGACTGGACACAGATGTTGAGAATGATGGCACAGGTTGGGACATCGAGAACAAGGATGTGGCATGGTCTGATGTGGTGTTTGATGGTGACTTATACTTGGAAAGAGAGATGTGGAGTTATCCATGGTGCACAGCGTCGTACTCCTGCTCAGGTGGCCGATCAGATACGAGATGATATACAGTTTATAGCTTATGGCAATAAGAGTTACATAGATATTTTAGTTGAGCTGGGTTACATATAGAAACCTCTTTTTTCATATCTGGTAGATGCCTAGTTGTCAGTAGCTTGATACAGTAGAAATCGTAGCTATAATCGAGATATACTCTCGCTTCGTTGTATCGGTTTACTTGAAATAAAAGCAACTGATTCAACGAAAAAAAAAAATGTGGCGTAGTCTTTTATTTAATTTTCTTTTATTATAAGATTAAGCGTTAGAGACAAATTCGGGATGGGATTAGCACCGTACTAGCACGCCTAAATTAACCATCAAATTAAAAAGTAATCCTAGGGTCAGAATTAAATAAAAGATAATTTAGTCAACTAACCATTAAACCCTCATATATATATAGGATCAACCTTTTCCCATCTGCCCCTCTTCTCCCACACTCTCTCTGAAAGAATAGAACCTTTCTTCTTCTCTCTCTCAAAAAACTCCCATCTCCGTCGATTGACCTTCGCGTTCGACTACGCCTGCGTCTACCTCAGCCATGCCGGCCTCGTCCGCAACCGCGCCTCTGCAACTCCCTCATCCCGCAATCACTTCGCCATCGCCATGCACTACTCTCAACTTGTCGGCCTTACCTCTGTCGCCGCTTCGATAAAACCACAACACTTGCGGCTGGGGAGGAGGTGAGTCATCAAATGATGGAGGAAGAGGAAACAAAACCAGATCTGGGGAAAGACAACCGTTCGATGGAGAGAAACAAGCCTGCACCGCCCTTACTTCCGTCGGCCTTGCCTCCGCTGGCTTCCCACCGCCACTGGCTTCACCGTCAATCACTCACGGATCTATATTATTATTTGATTAGGATTGATTGGGTTAGTAGTGATTGTGTTTTAGTGTTTTTTTTATATGTACCAGTAGTCTTTTTTTTTTTTTGTATTCAGCTGTTCGGCAACGATATTTTTGTTAAAGTATTAGTAGTGTTTGGTATATTAGTAGCAATATTTGTTCTTTGTGTAGTAGGTTTTTCATTTACATTAGTGTTCTATCTAAGTCCTGTTAATTAAAAAATACTGCTTAAAACAACAAAATCACTACTGATTATCATAAAATCACTACAACATCTTATTTAAATCACTACTAATTTAACTATTAGTGGTTTTCCAGTAGTATTTTTTCACGTTTTGTGAAGGAGAAGAAAAATGATTAAAATTCAATTAATTTAATAAATTCAATTTTTCAAAAATACCAAACATACCCTTTATTTCTTCTCACCGTTTAAATTAACTTAAAACTAATTAACAGTAATAAAAATTGTTAGGATGGTGTTAACTCTTATAAGAGTTAGCACTCTAACTCCTCCCGACAAATTATTATGTGTGGCTTTGTAATTAACTAATTCTTAATTACTTAACCACACAAAACAAATACTTTTCAATTCTAAGTTAAGTTTTGAGATTTTTCATAAAACATATACAAATACAAAATTGACATTCAATGTGTTAATGAGAATTGACAATGGTGAGGAGGTTTATGAATTTATTCTTTAATTCTTCTTTTATGTATTGGTTTTCTCTTATAGTGATGAAACCTAGATCACAATTTCCATTTAGAGAATAGAAATTCAATGTTTAAAACCAATAGATAGATAATTTCTATCTTATGTTATTTTTCTCAAAAACGACAAAAAAAATTATGAGATCATACTATCTTAATCTAGGTTTGTGTTGTATAGTTTTCTTTTAGCATAGGAGGAAACTGACAACTCCATTTGCTTTATTTTTTTCATAACTTTGCTTGGTTTTGATCAAATATTAGTGAGAGAATTATATTAGTGCGATGATAATTCTTACCAAAACTTGCTTTGACAGTAACATATTATTTTGTTATGTTATAACTGCTTCATTATTATTTTGAGTTTTTGTACAATATTTATTGATTCTACGCCTAGAAAATATATTCACTTTGGAGAATCTTCTTATTGATAAAATAGTGTTCCAGTGCTATCTTCAAATATACAAGTAAAAGTGCAAGAATTTTGGTGCATAATCTCCTTTATTTACAGCTGGCACAAATCTCAAAAGCTATAGTTAAAAGATTTTCAATTTCTCGCAAATTTAGACAATATCTCATTCGTTTCAACTCAAATTTTAAATGAATTAGAAAAATCACATTAATTGTAACTTGTCAAAGAAAAGTTCAAAAGGATGTGATGAGCAATTTTATAAGAATTATACAGTAACATCAAAGACAATAGTAGTTAGGCAACAACATACCCAATAAAATATAAAGATTTCGACCAAATAATGCATCTCAATTGTTATATTTCACAGATTCAGGGTTATCTTGTGTTACCTGGGTAACATAAATCAATAATTACTGGGGAGACCGCTATGACGACAAAGCGGACAATGGTCAGAGCCCATGTTTAAGCTATTTCCAATGACCGGAACTCACAATCCCATCCATTGGCCATTTTAATCCTCGCTTGCACGAAAAAATAAGCACAACGCCATGGAGCCAGAATCGAAGCCAAAGGTAGCGGCGAGCGAGCCAATTGGATTACACTGGAGCCCAAAAGATGAAGCAACGAAACCCATGCACAAATCAATTGGGAGCGAAGAGCATAACCGAGCATCTGGACTTACATAGAGATTTGAGGGGAGAAGATGAATGCGTAAGAGTGAAGACATGCAGTATGTTGCTTCGATTTGGCGGGCATAGAGATTTGGGGAGGGGAGTTCGAAGTCTCTGCGTACCGGTGGTCGGTGGTGCACGATGCACACGCAAAAGCCGGTAATTTTTTGGGTTGTGGGATGCTCGCACTGACGGGGATGGAAGTTGTGCAGATTTGGGGAGAATGAGTTGGTCGAATAACTGGGGAAAAGATGGGACGCGAGTGCGTCTAGTGGACGATGGCGGCGGGTCGGGTGGCTGGCGACAGGAAGGACCGACAGACACCGGTGGAGGTTTGGGCTCGGAGAAGAGGAGGGTGGATGGGACCGACGAAAGGGAGAAGGGGTTTCGTTGGGGAATTGGTTTCTTTTTTCTTTCTTTCATTTGAATTCCTTTCGGTTAATTAGGCTGGTTAATTGGAGGAAAATAGATGATGACGTGTAAGCGTGAGGAGGGAGAGAATTTGAATTCTTGAAGGCTTTAATTGGAAACCATATAATATATTCTTTAGACTTTAGATTAGATGGTCTCACTTCAGTCGTCGGCCTTATTTTCCAACCTGACTAAGACCCCCAAAAACCTTGCAAAGTCACCGGATTTCTTATTCCTCATCCAGCAATCACTATCGGTCGACATGAAGCTATCTTTGTTCTCAGGGGCAATGAGCTTGAACCAAACGGCTCTTGCTCTAGAACAATCACGAAGACAGTGGATGATTGTCTCCTCCATGTTCTCGCCAGCGGCGGATCCAGGATATAGTAGAGCACTGGGCCGCATTTGAGTTAAATATTAAATATCATAAACAAAAATATACAATAACTATAGTTTTCATTCATTACGATCTCAATTCTTGTAGAAGGTCTTTTAATTTGGAAAATCTATTAATAATAGAATCTCCATCCATACCAATAGAATAGTTTCTCTCATATTTGACAGGGAAGGGTGGACTTTAGTTTAGAGGAGTTTTTTAGGATAAATACTAATTATTACTAAAACATTTTCCGCATATTTAAATATTAACCAAACCTTTGAAAATACTAGTAAAATATTAACTTCCAATTAGCAGTTTTGTTAGTATTATTGACTTGGCAACGTTATACTAACTTGAAAGAGACACATGAAGGCAAACATTCCAAAACTTTCGTATTTTAAATAAGAAAATAGTTAACAAATTATGAACGATAACAGAAAATAGCTAATATTTTGGTGCATTACAAAATGTTTGGCCAATATTTGTATTTCGAAGGGTTTGGCTAATATTTAAAAATGCAAGAATGGTTTGGCTAATAATTAATATTTATATTTTTTATTTCAATGAAACTTTATACCTAGTCTTTTACGTTTTGGACTTTTAGATATTTTTTCTAAAATAAAATTATTCGGGCTAGAATTTCTAAGCTAAATTTAGAGTAGTGGGTTTTGATATGTATATCTAGACCATTTCCCTACTTACAGAAAATTCTATTATAAAATAACACTCGACCGACTTCTAAATATCACTGGGTCGGGTACCCAACTTCGAAAAATTTATAAGCACTTTACTAACTCTGTATCCGGAGGAGGGCTGGGCCGGGGCCCGGGTTGGCCCAGCCCTAGATTCGCCGCTGGTTCTCGCAGTAGGGACAACTATCATCGGTGGTGAGGTGCCGGAATTTCCTTATATTTTTTGTGGTGAGCTTGTTTTCAACCGCCATCCAAATAAAGACTCTTACTCTTTCTGGGACGTGTAATTTCCAAATGCTTTTCCAGAAGGTAGCCGATTTGGAAGGGACCAGAGGCGGGGAGAGAGCTTGGTAGGCTATTCTTGTCGTGAAGGAGCCATTAGTTGTAAGGTTCCACCGCAGCTTATCTTCCTCCCTTGTCATTGGATCAAAGTGAAAGGCCTGAATAGTTTCCAAAGTTTCAGCTCCAAGGTAATCGGCCAACTCATCAATTTTCCAACCATGATCTTCGTGCCAGTAGTGGGCCACCCGACGTTGGAGGAACTCCTCCGGGATCGTTTGTGTTGCCACCGAATTCAAGGGAACCTGCATTAACCACACATCGGTCCAGAATTTAGCTTTCTTCCCATTTTTAATATTATAAGCGCAACCCTTGCGTAGCAAATCAGTCGAGTGACTAAAGCTACGCCAGGCAAAGGAACTTCCCTTTGTGTTTTTAAGAATGTCTAAACCCTCCCTTGATTGACCATATTTCCCTTTCATGATCCGCACCCAGAGAGCCTGATCATTGGTCGCCAGCTTCCAAGCTCCTTTCGCCAGCATAGCTTGATTAGCCAATCGAGTGGGTCGTATATCAGCTCCTCCTTGGCTTCTTGGCACCACCATTTGGTCCCAGACGATGGGGTGGAAACTAGACTTCCCTTCTTCACCCCCCCAGATGAATTGCCTGTTGATCTTGTCAAGAGAGGAACACACAGACGCAGGAAGTTGCTCGGTAAACATAGTGTAAACCTACATGGAGGAGGATATAGATCACCAAGGTCATTCGAGCCGTGATGGAGAGGTGTCGGGTTTTCCAATTGGCCAGGCGCTTCTGAATTCTAACTGTGAGGTCCTTGTATCTAGCTATGGAGACCCTTCCGTTGATTGTATGAATCCCTAAGTATTTTCTCAGGTCTATCGTGGTAGGGATGCCAGCTTGGCTCTCCAGTCTTTGTCTCTGTCCCGGGGCACATTAGGAGAGATCATCATCGCAGACTTGCTGAGATTGACTTTTTGGCCTGAGCTAGAACAAAAATCGTCTAAGCATTTCCGAATAATGTCAATCTGTCAACCTTCAGCTTTTGCAAACAAAACCATTTCATCAGCAAAAAACAAGTGTGAAATTTTAGGGCCATTTTTTTTACAGCTGGAGAGGTTTCCACAGTTTCTCGGTTACTGCCTGCTGAATCCTGTGAGAAATTCGTTCCATACAGAGAACAAAAAGATAAGGGGAGAGGGTCCCCCTGACGGACCCCTCTAGTGGGAATAATTTGCTCGGTCAGATCCCTATTCCAGTTAATTAACATCTTGTTCCTCTCCACACAGAACATGATCCTGCTAATCCAGGTGTTGGGAAGTCCAAGTTGCGCTAAGGTGTCTATGATGAAATCCCATCTGAGCCTGTCATAGGCTTTTTCCAAATCTATTTTGATCACCAGACCTCCCTTTACCCCCTTCTTCTTCCTAAAAGAGTGAATGAGTTCCTGTAGAATTAGGATGTTATCCGTAGTTTGACGCTCGGGGATGAAACTGCTTTGGGTTGGAGCCACCCATTTCTTCATCAGAGTCTTCAGGCGGTTGGTAATCGCCTTGGTGATGACTTTGAGGCGAACATTGTTGAGGCAGATAGGTCAAAACTGGGTTGGGCTCTCAGTCTTGGGAATCAAGACCACTGTTGACTCCAACACCTCCTCTTCTATTTCACCTGTCTCAAAAAACTTAAAACCATGTTAGTTAAACATTTTCTAACTAGTGACCACACCTTTTGGTAGAAGATCGCCTGGAAGCCATCCGGACCAGATGCCGGTATGGTTTCATGTCGAAAATCGCCCTGTGAAAGTCATTAATTTGGAAAGGTCGCAAGAGAGTGAGTAGATCCTCGGAAAACAATACTTCGGCATCAGATCACTGTAGATGAGCTCATCCTGCGTGTAGAGAAGTCTGAAAAAGAAGACGATCAAGTCTCGGAGCTGCGCAGGGTCCTCTACCCACTCTCCACTCTGATTCTGCAAGGAGATGATCTTGTTCCTTCTTCTACGACGATTGGCTTGTTGGTGGAAGTAGGAGGTGTTCATCTCCCCTAGCTTAACCCAAGTTTCTTTGGCTCTTTGAAACCAAATGATTTCCTCCTACGCAAGAAGGTCATCAAGCTCTTTCTCAAGCTTCGCTTGCAGCTTGAAAAGACCGGGGGATGATGAGGTGGTGATTCTGGTTTGAACTCCTTGAATCCTCGCCAATAGTCTCTTCTTACGATGCCCAATGATGCCGAACGTGAGTCTATTCCACTCTTGGAGCTTGATAGAGATGTCTTTCAGTCCCTGATTGAATCCCCATCCACATTCCAGTTTTCTGCAAAAAAACTCCGAGAAATTGTTATGGAGCAGCCACGCACCTTCAAAGCGAAAGGGCTTGGCTCCCCCATCATTATAATAGAGACCAGAGTAAGAGGTAAGTATAGGAAGATGATCCGAGTGCAGCTTGGGAAGGTGTCGTGTCGAGGTGTTGGCAAAGGCGGCATCCCACGCAGAGTTGCAGAGACTCCGGTCGATGTGACTAGCTGTTGCTGGAGTCCCTCCTACACCACTTATACTGAGCCCCTGAAAACCCCAAGTCAAAAAGGTTCGTTTCATTAATCCAATCTGTGAATTGCTGGCATATATGGAGGGAGGCGGTCGAAGCGGTGCCAGCCTTCCCGAAGGAGAGCAGTAAGCATTAAAATCTCCTGTCACCAACCAAGGAATTTCCAAATTGCGACCGAATTCAATGAGGTGATTCCACAGAATATGATGGAATCTGTAATTGGGGCTGCCATAAACCCCAGTGAGGAGCCATTCACGCTGCTTGTTGTTGGAGACCTTGACAGTTAAATGTTGCTGGCTAGCGTCAATGAGCTGGATTTGGAAGTCATTGGACCTCCATGCCAACCAAATGCCCCCACTACGACCTTCCACGTCCACACGAATGACATCTCCATACCCCAAATTGCTGCAAACTGTAGTGGCTCTATCCCCATTGATTTGGGGCTCGATGATTAGAAGAAAATCCGGGGAATACACTTTGATCAGGAGCCTCATAGCTCGTTGAAAAGCTTTGCTACCTGCACCGCAAACATTCCAAGACAAGACTTTGAAATTAGGATAGATTGAAGTAGACATGGACATAGAATAAAGGGAAGGGAGCAAATGAGAAAACAAAGAGAGGAGGAGGCGAGGAGAAGGATCAATTAGCCAGGGTAGTGCTGGAACCGGTGGGCTGCTGAACGACGATCAGCTCTCGACTCTCCGAGGCTTCCCGCTCCACTATCCGCTCTTCCATAATATCATCACTGCCTTGAAGCCCTTGCTTATTTGCGAGCGCGGCTAAACTAGGGTTGCTGAAGTAAAAAAGCCTCAATAGCTTGAACGGTGATCGGGAAGGCTGCATTCTTTATGTTTCGGTTGAGTTCCTTTTTTAGTTCCCTTTTGGCATTGGTTGGAACTGTCACCGCCTTCTTGTTTGACTTGAGGCTGAGACCTTTCGTCTTTCCTTGCGGCAACGAATTTTCCTTTGATTTTTTCTTGTAGTGCTGTCTGATCGACGATGGGGCTTGATTTGGGTCAACATTTTCCTTCGCCGGGAGTTGTAAGGAGGGGACAGCAACTACTTGAATTTTAGTGTTATTGGGGCCCAAAATTTGGGTTATCGGCCCATATGGTACCGAGGTAGATCGATCAGCATTCTTGGTGGCGTTGGGCTTTTCCATGGGCTTGACTATGTCTCTACCATCTTTGGATGAGGAGGCCTCGATAGATCCAATCAGGCGCCAGACCTGACTTACTGTATTTTTGTGGGAGGTTTTCAGAGTATCTGACTCCTTGATCGCCTTCCCCTTTTGGCTTGTCGAGAGACCCGGCCGCTGCTCTATTTTGGCTGATTCCTTTCCATTTCCATCCCTCAAGCTAGCGACCGTTGGATTTTGCGAGTTTCCCTTACTGATGGCTTTGCTTGATTGACGCCCCGCCTCCGTTTGGCCGTTGTGTCGATTTTTCTGATTTTGCTCGCTAGAAAGAGTAACTTTCCCGGATTGCTTCCGTGATTTCCTCGTTACTTGCATCTAGGGGCCATATCCCGGTGGTGGCTCCGGCGTCGATTCGTCCGGCTCCGTTTTTCGATCACTGGTTTGGGCCACAACTATTTCCATGCCCGATTGTGGTTTCCGGGATCGGCATGAATCGTCAGAATGCCCCACACACCCACATTCAAAGCAAATTAAGGGGAGATTCTCATACCACACTGCTTGCCAGAAGCCATCAAGGTGGATGCGAAATGGCACTGGCTTGGATATGTCTAGCTCCACTGTTATCCGGGCGAATTTTCCTGTAACACCCTACCCTATGCGTATTAATTAATCGTATTATTCATACATTTGCAGCGGAAATAATCTCGGGTGTTACATTAATTACCAAAATTTACCCAAATAGAATTTCGACATGAATTACTCGTGTAATGGGCTAACAGTTCTTCCATATGATCCTGCAAAATAATTCATCTGAATCCATGCATTCATAGACAAACACGTATACTCACAACCATATGCATTGGCTTTTCATAGCCATAGTCACAGTTTCATACTCCACAAGTGCATACCATAATCGCCACAACTTACACAGTTACACAACATATACACATATCATCAACTTTCCACACCTGTGGATATCTCACAGTACATCAAAAGCTAGTATGCACATGAAAAACGTTCTCCAAACATTTTTACAAAAGGTGTGGATCACTGGCCAAAATCCCAAGTAGTAGTCCAAGCACAGAATGGTTGAAGACCATACCTCATCTTGCCTTCAACTCTTGCTCAGTCCCCACCTATACACCTATCTATTGCTGCTGCTGATGATGATATGCTTACACATGGCATAAGCAGAGAAAAAGGATAAAGAGGGTCAGCTCATAGCTGAGTGAGATAATCATAGCATCGTGAGTTCATTACAGAGCATACCCCTACCACACATCTAGCAAACAAGCCAAAGCACTGGGATCAGATCTCAGCCCTCCGACATCCCAATAGGCAAAAGACTCAACCACCTTGACTTATGCATATGCATCTTGTCATGTTTAACTCATAGGCGCCTGGCTACTCCCATGCTAATAACTCTCCCGGGAAACATACCCCACATCCCGTCGGATGTAGTCATACATACCCCACACCACTATGGGTGTAGTCATACCCCGACACCGCTCTGGTGTGGTCATATCTCATAAGAATTCTTCAGTCACCACCACATGAGAGGTGTGACTATCATACATATCATAATAGAGTAATAGCATAGGGAGCCCTAATTACTATGTAGTTGACCGTGAGACCACAACACTCATATTTGGTATCCTTATACATGATTCATATCTCATCTTGCTTAATCATAATGTATTACTTGCACATGTACTTGACCTGGCCACAATTGACTCAACATAGGTAAATCAGGAGTCGTATAATTGCACTTCCTCAGGATAAACCCTCGTGCCAGTCATCCTCCTTAAACGTCATAATATCACCAGGGAATATATATTTTCCCACATGTGCATCCAAATACAACAATCATGAAAAATCATACCTAATCACCTTCTCGAACCATCGTAAAGCATATTAACAGTCAAGCCCACAATTTGCAACATATACACAATCATCAGCATAAACAAGGTTCATATCGATTAGGGCAAGTCAATAATATCATACAACAATCCAGGGTTCAACATATAGCACAAAAGTTCATGCACCCCTAATCATGCCATTCTAGTTCACCTAGATCAATTCTAAGCATCAATATAATTATCGTGATACGACAAACCCGGTATGCCGTGCTAATCCCTCACCAGTTCTGGTCGTTCAAACACCGGTTTAAGCTTCCCCGTACTAAATCGTCAATTTCACGAGCGAATCCCGAATTAAAATCCGAGACCGTCCTAATATCCCCTGCAGTATCCCCGTCAATATTAGTTCTAGGCTCCGGGTCAAATTCTTGATAAAAACACATCAAACCCTGGCCGGAGCTAAATTCTTGAGTATGAAAACACTATCTAGACCTTGAATTAACCGATCTTTCGGACATGATACTATACTCTAGCCCTTAAGATCAAAATCTAGGTCTTAATTCTCCCAATCTTATACTCCAAGATCAATTTAATTAGAAACAATAATCGACGGTTATGATTCGTCCAAATATAGGCACAAAAAGGAATGCACCATCTTAGGGTTTATAGATTATGATTTAGATAATTAGGACCTAGGGTTCACACATTAAGGGTTAGGGTATAGTATCAGATCCAAAAATCCTGCTAATTCGAGGTCTAGATACCGTTTCCATACTCAAGGTATGCGGTACCCCGGATTTCACTCGGGGTACAGTAGAAGGCACCATATATATATATATATGATCCAATTATATAATTAATACGTATACTTATCTGATCGATCGATAATCCGATTTTCTTCTAAATAGTGTCGAAATGCTAGATTTTAAATCGTGAAATTTTCTAACAATCGAAATATGGGTTTTACCGGAACGGGATGGTACATTTCCCCTTTGGTGATGTTTAGTGTGATAATCCAATTTCATCGTCCAACGGATTAGATTGCCTATAGCAAATAGGACTTCTCTGTTATAAAAATGGACAAGCAGTTCCGGGAGTTGGATCCAGGCAACAACTAAACGGTAGGGCTTCTGACCAGTGCGGAAAGACGGCGACCATTGATGCACCACTAGGTAGTGATCCAGAATTACCCAAGGCCCGCCGGTTAATGCTGTCAGGTAGTCTTGCTCATTAGAGAAAGTCACTAAGAAGGTGTCGTTGTTGAGGTCCATGATGTCTAGGTGACCCGTTGGTCTCCACATCCATCTGATCCGGCTGCACAAGTAGGCGTAGGAGACGGAGCGGCCCAGCAGCCTGATAACCAGCGTTTTCTTCCATGGGATGCAAAGTTTATCTCTGAGCTGGTCTGAGATTCGCAGGGATGGCTCTTCCCCAAAGGAACCGGGAATGAGATCATGTTCCCCCACGAAGGTCCACTGGTTCGCTATCTCCATAGGCCCCTGATCTTTGCCTATGAGTGCCGATTTGAAATTCACTGGCGTCGGTGTTGTATCAACCGCTTGCCCTGCGATGGTTTCAGACGGTGGGGGAGAAAAGAGTAGGTCCGGCGGCCGTCCCGTCATGGACATGTCCGGCCCCGTAGTAAGGAGAACAGAAGGAGAGGTCGAGAGCATTTCAAAACTAAGTCAATTCACGATTAAACATATGGCTTTATAATACTATGAGACTGAGAGCAAGAGTGTTAATTGAATTTTTGCTAACTATGCATGTGAATGTCTAGCATACACGTCAGCAAGTGTCAATATAGTACTACAAGGAAAAAGATTGATTGTTAGCAATCAACCAAAAGATCAGTCAAAACAGATCCATCATTTTGAAAATTAAAAAAAAAAATACACACTCCAACTATCTGTAAATGATAGAAACGAGATTTGGATTCTAGGCGCTGCAAAGCGCGACAATAAATCGAGTTACAAATATATTTGGTAGTTTTGCTATGTAGCCATCCTTGGCATTGATTGCTGCTCAATGAATAATGTAATTTGTACCCCAAATGAATAATGTACTTTGTACCCAAATTGAATTACTAGGAAAAAAAGCGAAGGAAATCCAACCATGCACATGCAAACCATCATTTCATTGCATCAAAAGGCAAAACATTTCATGACAAAGTTTAATTAGCCGTCTCCACTATGAAGCAATCCATCATCAACCCCACGCTTTTGGTTAAATTTTTATTTTTGCAGCGTGAAGAGCTTACAGAAAGTGATACTGTCGTATCGTTATCCTTGTACTACGCGGTTTACAAGGAGATGATTTCTTTCATTTGGATTTTATTTTGATCTTTCTGCCAAAAAAAAAAGAGGCTTAACTTTTGGGTTCCGACTGTTGACCACTCCAATTTTGACCCAAGACAACGACTTGTAGGCTTTCCCATCATGGGGATTTCCCTTTTTCATCAATCACATAGACATCCACTAAACTTTAGGTTCATCAACAAATGGCTCACTCAACTTGAATTATTAACAAATTTGTCCACAAAATGAATTTGAATGGATTCGGATAATCAATTTGGTTTATATTAGCTACGAGGTAAGAACGGGTCTATCCTACTTATAGCTAATTTTAGAGATTCGTAATTTGTACATGACATGTTCAACCGAACCTGTTTTCAAGAGGATGTCCTCTATTGTTGGTCTGCTCGACTTGCCTTGGCTCATTCTCCACTTGTTGTGTTCAACTTCGATATAATACTTACTCTAAGTACTTATATCTTAACTTCTGACATCTTATACTTTAATTCTGATGTAGCTGTACTATGAACTGAGAGCATTCATCTCTTGCGTAATTAGTCGTAATCAATCATTATCATCCTCTCCCATTTCATACCGCATGTATTTTTCTCTGTCTATTTGTGAAATGAAATAAAAGAATTGTTGCTATGATTTGCGAGATTCATACACGAATTAATTAACTTGTCACGATCTAATTCAAAATCCCCAACCTGCGGCGAGTATAGATACTAACGTACCCGATTACTATTTTAGCTAGTTGACATCTGCTTGACATTATAAATTTAGGTGCTGAGTGCTGACGCGTTAATCTTGGATAATTTATTGTCTAATACTGTAATTGGCCCATTTATTTTTCGCATCATAATAATTGACAACTATAATAAACTAAAACATAAAAAACGGAAAAATTAAACAACGAGAAATGAAAGAAAAAACTGAAGAAGGTTGCACCTAATTTTTTTTAATACTAAAGTAATCAACGTAAAATTATTGTAATTAATAATACTTATTATTGAAAAAACAATCATTTTATTAATAAAGCTGGAGGCAGGTAAAAATTGAGTTTTTTTATGCAGTTATATTTGGTGGTGGTGGTGGTGGTGACGCAACGACGACGAAACTGGAAAAGGAAAAACGCCGCAAGACCGCGCACACAGAAGAAGAAGGAGGAGGAGGAGGAATGTACGTGGAGCTCTTACCTGCCTTTTCCATTCCGTACCTCTTCTTCCGATCACTACTCTCTTCCCCCTCGCTGCATTAAACCGAATCTCGTCGGCCACAGACGGGGAGAGCTGAGACTCGCCACGGTGTCGGCGGCGCTGGCGTTGACGGCGACGGGCAAGAGGTGCAGGATGAAAACTTCGCTCAAAATATTGCGAGGGGCGCTTCACAAACACAATAACGATGGCGATGCCGGCGGTAGAGACGGACGAGATCTTCGCTCCTTGGCTCAATTGGACGAACTTGCAAGCGCTTCTCAGGTTTTGCTTCCTCTTTGCTCTTTTCGCTTTCCCTGTATTCCCGACGTTAGATTGCTTCTCTGGTTGTATAGCGGATTTCTCCCTTTCGCCAAATTTTTTTTTTTTTTTTTTGACTCGTGGTGGTTTTGAGATTTGGGAAGTGATGGGTCTGTGACTCGATTTGGGCGCTTGGTGAATCAGTGTAGAGATGATTTGGTTAACTTCCATGGCCTGATTCCAATTCCTTTCTCTGTCATGAGTTCGTATAAGTAAGTTCTTGTTTCGGCTTTTTGGCTTCAATTTATTGCAGGATATGCAGGACATGAGAGAGTGTTATGACAGCTTACTCTCTGCAGCAGCAGCAACAGCTAATAGTGCTTATGGTAATCTATCTTTCTCTCTTGAATTTGCATCGAGTGTTTATGTGTAGTTTAGGGGGATTTCCGCCCTCTCTAAAGTGCTTACGTTGTTCGTGAACTTGGAAATGGTTCTTGATTCTTCCTCCTTTCCTCAGAATTCTCGGAGTCTTTGCGAGAGATGGGTGCCTGCCTTCTTGAGAAAACTGCATTGAATGATGATGAGGAAAGTGGTGAGTTAGTTTGGAGACCCTCCTGAAAGCTGGAACTTCGGCGTGGTGATTTGGTTACCTGGCCTCGTATAGGGTGGCAATGTGGCAGAAACTCTAATACCATTTTTTACCATCACTATCTCGTGTAGGTAAAGTCTTGTTGATGATGGGGAAAGCGCAGTTTGAACTTCAGAAACTTGTTGATGCCTATGTGAGTTTTTAATTTTTTGTTATAAGGTGCCTATGTGAGTTTTTAATTTGTTGTGTAGAACATTTATTTTATGATCTTTTGATTTGTCCTGTGTAGTAACGAATCAGTGCTTTTGATGTTTCAGCGTGCTCATGTGCTCCAAACAATCACTGTGCCATCAGATTCTCTTCTCAATGAGCTGCAAACAGTTGAGGTTTGTATTTCTCCCTTGGATCTTAAAAACTCATTCCCATTCCTTTTGGTGTTAGAGACGGTAGGCTGGTTGCAATAATGGAATTTCAATGGTTACTGATTCGGATCTACCTAGAATCTCTATTATGACATCAGGAGAGCCGATCAAGCTGTAGCAGATTTAGTAGTAGTAGTAGTTTGAGTACCTATAGGAGAAAGAAAATTTTATTTTTCTTCTTATTTGGACTCCTGCTGATCGATCATTAAGTATCGTGAATCACCATCATGTAAAGGATAATAAATTATTCACAATGATCGATAGTTGATGATCCAAACCGCAAATCTAAGAAGTCTTTGAATATTGAAGTGATCCAGCCCTGCTTGCCTTGTATGAATTGCTCTTGGATGTTAAAACTTATGTTGATACTCGATTGTGGATCCAATGCCAGATGGGACATGTCCAAGAAACCTTGAGTTTGTCAAAAAATTTAACCTTCACTGACTTTCTAAAACCGAAGGGAATAAGTGGATTATTTTGTCTCTTTTTCCTTAAATGTCAATTTTTAATTTGCTTTAATTAGTTATATTTATGAAGAATTCTGATTCTTTGCTTTGGAAGCTAATGATTATGCTCTTGCACTATTATGTTCTATAGGTGTCATAATTCTAGTTTATTAACTTATATCTCTTGCGTTCATGCAGGAAATGAAGGAGCAATGTGACGAGAAAAGGTCTGTAGGTTATTTTAGCATTTTTCTTACACTAAAAAATACAAACATAATGCCTACAGGAAATGCCGAAAGATTTTGCTAATTGTCTATAACTACGTTGCTCTTGACCTGCAGAGAAATGTACGAGTATATGAGGATGAGGCGGAGAGAAAAAGGGCGTGGAAGGAGTGGCAAAGGAGGAGAGAGAGTAGAGAGCTTCTCTGTGGACCAAGTGCAAGCAGCTCGTGATCGGTATGATGAGGAAGCAACCTTGTTTGTTTTCCGGTTGAAATCCTTAAAGCAAGGACAATCACGTAGTCTTCTTACTCAAGCTGCGAGGCATCATGCTGCACAGGTCTCCGCTCTTTTCTCTGGCATGTCTAACTAGTTCTTCCTCTTTTGGAACCTTTTTCTCACTTTGGATTTATAATCAGATGGCCTTCTTTAAGAAGGCTCTTAAAGCACTTGAAGAAGTCGAACCACACGTGAAATCTGTCACTGCACACCAGTTCATTGACTACCACTTTGCTGGTCTTGATGATGAAGATGATGGTGAGGATGACGATGATAACAACTCCAGCGATACTAATGATGATGGGGAACTTAGTTTCCAGTATGATCAAAATGATGATGAGCGTGATGTTTCTACATCAAGAGACTCGATAGTGGTAAGTCAGTTATATGTGTTTAACGCTTCTTAAATTCTCTTTTATCCTTGGACTTGATCTGAAGTTCTATTATTTACTGCTAATGTACAGTTGGACGGTGGAGACCTAACCTTTCCCAAAGTGTCAACTTCAGAAGCTAGAAAGGTAAGAAACCATATCTGTTTTGAATAGTACTTGAACTTTTTCATTGATAGGTCTCACTGTTTGGCCTTGGCTTACCAGATAGAAGGGTCTCACTTTCTTATCTTATCTGCCCCTGTTTGATTAGTTGGGAATAAAGGTTGCAGATTGGTTGGGCTAAAATGAGTTTATGGGATGGGTTGGCAGATTGGGAATCATTGACATTCTTTTGAAATTCAATGTGGATTGGAGGGCATTTCGGCCATTTGTTCAGGTGTAAGAGATGTTGGATAAACTTTCAGAAGTTCGGATACTAGATTGTTAAATGTCAAACGTGTATTAGTTTTTTTATAGCGAAAGATGGTGCCCTATGCATCTGGGCTGAAATTTGCCACCTCTAGGTGAGAATTAAGGGCTGTTTTTCCTTCTGCCTCATTTTTATGATCTTCTTTTGCTGTGTTTCACAGGAAAATTTTGGCAGAAGCTACAGATCTTATTCTTTCAGAGGAGATGCTCGAACGGGAAGTCAATCAGCTCCACTTTTCGCCGTGAGGAAGTCAGTTTCAGTTGACAAGTTGGAACAGTTGCGGCCATCCTTCGCAAAGAAATTCAGCTCCTATGTCCTTCCCACACCAAATGATCCCAATGGCCGTAGTCCCACCACAGCTTCTAGTGGTCCGATTCCTCGAACCTTTAATGGGGGTAAGCATTGGTCACATTCAAACCGTCATGATCCAAAGAAGTATGAAAAACTCATGGGAGATGAGAAAATGAATCCAAAATCAGTCCTCAGAGAGAGCAACAACAACAATTCTGATGCAGCTACTCGGTTAACTCCTCCAATGGCAGACAGCCTTTTGCTCTCGAGGCTCGATCCAGGTCGCCGCGCAATCTCCGATTTTAGTAAGACGAACCAAAGACAAGCCTTTTCAGGCCCCATTGCAAGGAAATCATGGCCCTCCATCCCTTCTCCACTGGACCAGCATGCTCAGCTCTTATCTGGGCCGCTGTTGCAGACTCGAATGTCCCAAATGCCATCTTCCTCTCCTACCATATCTCCAAGTACTTCACCTACCTTGCTATCTTCTCCTCGGATAAGTGAACTCCACGAGCTTCCCAGGCCTCCAAGGAATCCGTTGAGCTTTGCAGGAGTTGGTCATTCAGCTCCATTATCATTTCCCAGAGGCCAAGCAGCAGCAGTAGCTTCTCTGTTGCCTGTTCCTTCTCAGGTCTCCCGGAGTTTGTCTATACCATCTGGTGGTCATAGAGCTGTAGCATCGGTCCCTTCAGTGGAGTCGTTAACTCCCCAGGCGACTCAAAATGCTGAGAATGTTGAAGAAGTTTTTTTCTCGCCGCCTCTGACTCCTCTTTCTCCATTGGATGGTCAACCAATGGCTGCAGCTGGTTCCCAAGTCAAAGGTAAGAAGTGATTTACTGATAAGTACTACTTCTTGAGTCCTTGACCATTTAAGTAGAGTCGAGAGTGAATAGCAATTACAATTAGCCGCACTACTAGGACTACTTTGTTCAATGCAAGAACATGACTAATTGAGATCTCTCCATCGCCTCCCCCGAATTCTGCCAGTTATTATTAACTGTCCTTGTCCATGAATATTATTCTTTTGCTTTGTTGAATCATATTGTTTGGAGATTTATATGAAGGATGTCTTCCTTGTTTTGACTCTTACTGTAGCCGAATAGTTACTGGCTTTTAATTTTGGTTTTGTTTTTCTTTCTTTCGTTCTGGGTGAAAGCAGATTCACAAGGATTGTAATGGGGGTTGATGGTGGCGCCATTTCTCGAGGGGAGTTGCTGGGGACAACTGTATATAACGGTTCTTCTCCTCTGTTGAAGTTCATCGTCCTTTATATTCATCAGTGAAGAAAGTTTTGTTCCATATCTAGGATTTCGGTCTCGTTTTACCAGTGACGATTATAGTTATTATAAGCACCCCATTTTACTTCTGCAAACATGGATTGTTGGTTGAGCCATTCAATTGTAGTCTGTAGAACCATAAGCAAGATAAGAAATGGAATCCGGAATTTCTTGTCTTTGTAAACTTTGGCTCGTGTAATTGGAGAGGGTTCTAGTTTCGTTGTGGCTTGACATCGTAATAGTCGAAAGGATGAATCTTCAAATGACAGTAAGAACTAGTTGTTCTTTTTATTCGTGATATCGTAGTTGTTATATTAAGTATTGCCGTACTAATCGACGTACCAAGTTTGAGCTAACAAGTGACGAGGGCATATTTCAGATTAGCATTGAGTTGAACCCGCATATAAATTGACGACGATCTCTTCCAAATTATTAAACGTCTCATCGTTTACTGTTTGATACCTTCTGGCCTTGCTTGTTTGTTTGAACCTGAACTCGGCTTGTTGTGAATGAAGAAGCAATTCCTTAAGCAAAAATGGCTCTCTTTATCTTCATACTACAATACATCAGAACAATGAACACCAACACCATAGTACTAGCTAAACCACACTCTAAATTCTAACCTTTTCACCATCATAACCTTCTATAAATGACACATCAATCTTATAAGGTATAACTCCAAGAACTATCAAAGCAAGAAACTTTGCAGTCCCTTTCATGGTCGGTCGAGTCGCTTCGTATCAGCAGCTCCCTCCAGCATCATATCTCACAAACCCCATCAGCTCGGGTCCTTCCAGCCTCGAGTTGTTCATGTAACTGCCCAACATCCAAACTCCAAAACTAAGAAACTCGGTAATTGGTTAAACAACTCCAGAAAGAAAGTTGCTGTAACAAAAAAAAAAAAAAGAAAAAGCATCAGTAAGAAACTACAGAACCTTTCCTCAGTGAATTTGGAGAAGGATCCTGCAGTTGGGATTGTCCCACACAAGTCATTGTTGGACACATCACTGCAGTAAACACAAACAAAACAGTAAAGAAAAGGTGAAAACTTTGCTCAACCCAGCAGAAATTTTCTGTTACCAATCGTCATACACGTTCATGCTTACAGTATCTTCAGGCTTCCAAGCTTTGTAAGTTCCCTGGGAATCCTTCCACTCAATCTGTTCCCATTCAGCCTTCTGCACAACACAAACTAACTAAGAAATGAACACATAAAAAAGGCAGAGTGAAACAGAGAGAGAGAGAGCATTACAGGAACTTGAGATTGGAGAGCTTAGAGAGGGAAGAAGGGATGGATCCAGTCAAGTTATTGTGGTAGAGATCCAAGCTCAGTAAGCTCTTCAGGTTGCCCAGCTCCTTTGGTATGGGTCCCACCAGCTCATTCATGTAGAGCTCCCTTTTTGATTGCACACAAAAGTACAATTAAGGTCTTGTCAATGTCAGCCATGCTCATACACCTTACCCAAGTAATTAATTTCAGTAAGTGAAAAGACAGGGGAAGGACGAAGGAACTAGTTACAAGTACTGAAGTCGCTCCAACTTCCCCAGTTCTGGAACTAGCCTTCCTGACAGCTTCGCATTCCCAAGGTCCCTGCCTCCCCCATAAAAGTTTCCATTTTTCGGACTATGTTATGAACCAGAGTCATAATAATAATAACATTAATTCATAGCTCTGCTGATACTACTACAACAGAGCTTTTCCAGAACGTACTGTGAAGAACGGCATAGATAAGCTAGGATTAGTGAAGGGAAGTCTTAAATTGACGTACAGGCGGGTGATTCGGTTGTCGGAGTCGCAGGTGACGTGGAACCAAGTACAAGGATCGACCAGGGTTGGATCCCAGCTCTGGAGTTTGAGGCCTGGGTCCTTCACTGCTCTTCTCAGTGCGAACAGAGCATCCCCTGTTTTGATACTAAGTCATTATTGCAGGAGGAGGAAAATGGGGGAAAAGAGATAAATAAAAAAAAGGTGAAGGAGGAGGAACTAACCTTCCAGGTTTGCTGTTGCATGTGGAACCATGAGTGGTAGGATTGCAAGGAGGAGATGGAAGAAGCTGAAGGTGTAGATCGCCATGGATGAACTTCTCCAATGAAAGAGAGACTAGTGGAAAAGGGAGTTGTGGGTTGTGATGGGAGGAGTATGAGTATGGTGTTATGGAATGGAATGGGATGGAAAGAAGGAAAGAATCAATGAAAGCTAGTAATGGAGGAATTTTTATAGACCCACCCAATGAAAAAGAAAAAGAAGGAAACAACTTTTGTGTTTTGTTCTTTGGGTTCAAGAGGAGAAAGAAAGTGGGAGGAAAGGAAAGGGTTGGTGTCTCATGTTCTGCCCTCTGCCTCTCTCTCTCCTTTCTCTTTTGAAGTGTTCTAACTTCTAACATTTTCTTCTTTGAACTGAAGTGGCTTCTAGGTTCAAAATTGGGCCTCAGTAGGGTATTTGGTACTACTATCCACTGTAGGAGATGCTGTTACTTTCAACGCTTGCTGGCGTTGGCCATGTTTATAGATGCAGGAAGAAAGCATAGAAGGAGAAGGAAAGGAAGAGAGCAACAGAAAATGATGAAAAAACGTGACAGAGAGAGAGGTCACTTGTCCCTGTCCTGTTCAGGACCTTTCTCTGCCACCAGCCAGCCCCACTTCCCCCTCAGCTTCATGACCATCATTTGTGTTCAAATTAAACAGTCGCCGGAGATCAAAACGGGAAATTAATCAAACGGGAATTCCCTCTGTTTTTTTTTTACAAGAGGACATCGCATTTCCATTTCTATGGTAAAATGCCGTGAATTACAACAGGGGGATACAACATCAAGAATCTGCACTCAATCAGTAGGTAAGGTGTTCATAGCACAAGACCTAGCCACCCAATCCGCCATCGAATTGTTCTTACGGCCCATGTGTTTGACCCTATTATGCGGGTTTGAAACCAGTGCTTGTCTGATGCTTCCAATCCAGGCTGCTGCTCGCCAAGGCCACGTCGTCGGATGATCGTTAACCGCTTTTACCAGAGACAAGCAATCTGATAGAATGAGACATGGGGACAAACAGGAAACAGCCAGACGCGATCCTTCCAGGAGAGCTTTGGCTTCAGCTTCGAGAGGGGAAAAACAATGCAAAGTTTCAGCCTTACCGTCACAAACTTGGCCATGGCTGTTCGATACAACGACGCCATATGCCGCCTTCTGGGAGTCGCTGAAGAACGACCCATTGCAGTGTATCTCAAATTCATGAGTACTTGGCGGTGGTGAAGAGAGATTCGGTGGTGGGTTGGGCTGAGGTGGATGGAGTGTGCCATAGGTCTTCCTTGGACAGGAAATCCACTGGTGGTATGCCGTGGAGGCCTTGGTGACTGTCGCGGGTGGCCAGATACTGGAGTTTTTGAAGATTCTATCGTTTCTTGCTTTCCAAGTCTGCCAAAGAAGGAAGACGATTTTCTGAATGGAGCACACCGAGTACCTGCCAGTCAGCGCGTTCAGCCATTCCAGGAATGACACATTTGGATTTTGGGGGGGGGGGGGGGGGGGGGGGGGGGAGGACGGCCATTCTTGTTCCCATCCTTCAGCTGCATGAGGGCAGGAGAACAAGCAGTGGTGGATCGATTCCAAAGGGAAGTCACACAATGGGCACATCATGTTGGGAGAGCACTTCCTGTTGAAGAGGTTTTCTTTGGAGGCAAGTGCATTCTTTGAAATCCTCCACACAAAGAATTTGAGCTTTTGGGGGATGGAGAGGCTCCACAACCATTTCCATCTCTTCATACTTGCTTCGGATGTCAAGTTCTGCTGCCCTTGCGAGACTCTGTTAAGGTTATGAAAATGATAGAATGCGGATTTGACAGAGAACGTGCCCTGCTCCGTGAATCTCCAAGCCCAGAAATCCTCAAGAGATTCCGGGCCAATAGGGGTGGCTGCCACCTGTTGAACATCATGTGGGCTAAGGAATCGATCAAGTAGATCAAATCTCCATTCTTTGGTGATTCCATCAATCTAGCCATCAACAGTAGACTGGTCAGGCTACTCAAAATCAAGCACAACTCCCATTCTGTCTCTTCGTCAAGGGTCTTGAAAGAATTTGGTTGATTTTCCATTTCCGATAACCCTGATGACACCCCTTTCCATCCATTTTTTTGCTTCGCACAAGCTAGCCCAAATCCAAGATGCCTTCCCTCTGTTGCTGGGGTTTCTTTCTAGAAACGGAGATGCTCTTTCTTAACAGTTAACATTGAGATGTCTTGATTAATTCCCAAAATATATATATATATATATATATATATATATATATATATATATATATATAGGTGGTGTCTTCGGTGCACTCACTTTTTTGGGTGCATTCAGTGCACTCGCTTCATAACCGTCATTTTAAACATGCGATTTATGTCAAAATGATGTCAATCATCACTTATGATGTGATGAACAATAACGCACATGAATTTGCACAAAAACCATTAAAGATTTACTTTAATTTGAAGGATTTAGAGTTAAGAGATTTAGGGTTAGGGTTAGGGTTTACAATTTGGGGTTTAGGGATAGAACTCAAAATTGGAGGTCTAGGGCTTAGGATAATTCGCTAATTAGTTGTTAGCATATGTTATATCATCATATTACACTAATTCTACAAATTAAAATTCAAAATCTGACACCTTAAGACTAGTTTTTGAGTTGGGTGCATTGAACGCACTCATTTTTGTGAGTGCACCGAAGTGGTCACCTATATATATATATATATATATATATATATATATATATATATTTTTTTTTTTAAATTTACTACCAACATGACAGTTTTAAGAGTATTGACACAAATATTTTATTTGTGTAGGTAAAAGAGCGCGTCCGTCTGAGAGACTCAAACAGAACCGCTTTTCAAATTTTTTAATTCAAACTGAGCGGACCCACTCGAGTCACAAGCGGGTATGCTAAAAGGGCAGTGGTGGCGCCCGGGACTCAAGTGACCCCACCTTCCCCTTTCTTTTTGTTTACTTCCTTCTTCCACGCCCCATATATCTTATCTTCTTCTTCTTCTTCTTCTTCTTCTTCTTCTTCTGCAAACCAACAACCACCATGCATCCCTTCCTCTTCTCGCCCGACCCCCAGCGCCCATGCCGGACAGAAAGGCAATTTCGCCACCGCCTCAAGCAGACACGCCGAAGACAGAGGCGGCCGCGCCTAAGTCCCAAACGAACCCGCCATCTCCTTTTTCCTTCCGTCACTCCTCCCAGCATATTTTTTTATTTATTTGGGGAGAAGATGTCCGATGACGAGGAAGCAGTCGCCGACAGAGGAAGGGGGAGAGGGTGGCAAGGTCGTGGTGGCGGTAGCTAGTATCGTGGTGAGGATCTCGCTGGTGGCGGCGAGTATTTTTTTTAATTGAGTTTTTATGTTTTTTTTTGTTTTGTTTTTTTTTTCAATTCCTAGGCATATGGATAATTATTCCATGAGACCACCGCCTACGACAATTGATCCAGCTCCGGTCAATTTTGTACTTCTTTGGGGACATGGTCAACATCGTGTCGACTGAGTTTGGGCAAACGAAGTCTTTCATAACAACTACTTCTTTAAAGTTCATTAGCTAGTTAGATTAGCGGTTAATATTTTCATATGGCCTGAACTTTGACCAAAATAAACATCCTGACCAATCTTTTCGATCTATAACATCCTGGCCCAAACTATACACCAAAATAAACAATTTGGCCAGATCCGACTTTTGACCGTTAGCTTGGGCGGTCAAACGCGTTGACCGTTAGTCAACGCGGCATGTCACTGCCAAGTAAACATAAAATATTTAAAATAATTCACAATTTTCACACATTCCCTAATTTTAAATTATTATAAATTAAAAAAATCATCTAATACCTTAGTTAAACCAAAAATAAAAAATAAAAAATTAAATATTTATCAGATCTTCTGACTTGGCAGTGACGTGGCAGTGACATGGCGTGTTGACCGTCCAAGTTAACGGTCAAACATCGGGTTTGGCCAAATTGTTTATTTTGGTGTATAGTTCGGGCTAGGATGTTATAGATCGAAAAGATTGGCCAGGATGTTTATTTTGGTCAAAGTTCAGGTCATACGAAAATATTAACCCTTAGATTAGACTATTATAGATTTTTACTAGGTGAACTGAAATTAGAATAGAATTACGTATGATTTTTTTTAAATTACTCAAATTAGTATAAGTTTAGATTAGATAGATTTTTAGATTAGATAGATTTTACTAGGTGAAATTAGAATTACGCATGAAATCGAATTAATATAAGTTTTGTGCACTATAGGCTGGTGATAGACCTTACTATGTTCGAGGTACGACCAATTTAGTCACGTACCATGAATATTATCTGACGTATCTCGGAGAGGCGGGCTTGTCTAGTGTTCTGTCCCTGGTCTTTATGAATGCTGATGAAAGTTTGATTACCGCTCACGTAGAGCATTGGCGACCCGAGACGTTGACCTTCCACTTGCCGTCTGGTGAGGTCACTATCACTTTAGAGGGCGTTGTGACATTGAGCGGTCTAGCGATCGATGGTGATGTCGTCGTAGTAAACATACAAGATGAGGAGTGTGTTGAGTCAACAAGCTTGACTTAGCGTATTAAATTCCATAGGATATTTTGTTTTGAATATATGCTATTATGTTGAACTAACAATCTATGCAGAAATAGCACAATCAATGTTGAGGTAAAAGGAAATAATTCAAAGTGATTGCTTGCCCTCAAAGGAGTTGCCATATCAAGCAAAAAGTGTATCAAATCAAGGAGATACTTGCAACGTAAAGGACTACAAATGAAAGGAAATGAGGGCTCACATCCACTATAAATAGGAGAGTCATTTGTAGGCCAATATACCTTTTGTAAAGTTCTCTTCTCCATTGTAATAGCGAATTGTGTGATCATATTTCGTGGTGTGAATAGCTTGATATCTCGGGGGTTGAGATATTCAAGCTAGGTCGGGTTTTAGGGTAGAAAGGGTTTTTGTAATTGGGACTAGTGCAAGAGCAAGAGGGGATTCTTGCTTGGGAGTTGCACTAGGTGGATTACTCTTCAATCAAGTAAAACTAAGAGTGTTGGCTTGATTGATTGAGTCGGTAGCTTAGCTTTGATTTAGCTAAGGGTTGAATAGGTGTGGAGTTGCACCTATTTGGTTCTTGACACGAAGTGTCAAGGTTGTTTCAATTTCATAGGTTAGAGAGTCTTTTATTTTAATAAAAGTTAGAGTCTCTCGTGAGATAGTGGTAACTATCTCCGGGACGTGGATGTAAAGCCATATTGGCCAAACCGCGTTAAAATCGCGTGTCCCGACCCATCTCTCTCTATATATCTTCTCTGACTTTGTTCTCTTCATCAGTTCCAACAAATTAATCACTTCAAGAGAGATTCTTAGCAAGTCCTTTTGGATTGCTCAATCAAGCTAGTGCTAATCTCTCACTATTGAAATCAGAATTAATTTGTGCATTGACCACGTCAAAAGTATTCATTATTGACCTCGCTTGGTCCAACAAGTGGTATCAGAGCCTGGTTCCCTCAAAAAGATCAAAAGATCTGCGAGGAAACTGAGATCCGATATACCAAGCATGGATAGTGGGTCATCTATGAATCATGGTTCCAACTCTACTCATATGGAGGGTCTTTCATATATTATACCACCATGGTTTGATGGATACAACTATTCCATTTGGAAAACACGTATGATTGTTTTCTTTAAAAGGATGGGGTTTTGACGTCTGGAATGTGGTTGAGAACGGTGTGGGTGACATTAAAGATGATCCCAACACATGGTCTAACGATGATCTAAAGAAGATGGCGTTAGATGCTAAGCAACAAATGTTCTATATTGCGCGATATGTCCAGATGAATTCAATAAGGTGAATAGGTGCAAGACGACACATCAGATCTGGAAAAACTTGGAAGTATCGCATGAAGGGACAACCGATGTAAAAGAATCCAGGATATATCAATTAGTGCATGAATATCAAATGTTCAAAATGCACCTAGGTGAGTCTGTTTCGGATATGTATGTTCATTTTAACTTAATAGTAAGTATATTTAGTGCGTTAGGATAAATTTATGATAATGCTGAGCTGGTCAGGAAAAATCTTTGGTGCTTACCAAAAGAATGGATGCCTAAGAAAACTGCTATAGAAGAGGCTAAAAATCTATCTACTCTTAGTATTGAAAATTTGATAGGATCCCTAATTAGTCATGAAATTGCTTTAAAATCTCAATGTGACAACGATAATAACAAGAAAAATAAAAGTTTAGCATTTAAGGCTTGCGAGAAAAGAGTCACAAATGATGAAGGATCAGGAGATGATTTCGATCAAGGATTTGCTCTTATTTCAAAAAATTTCAAAAAGTTGTTAAAATTAGAAAGAAAACAAGGAAGGGGTAGTTCCTTCTATTTTCGTGAGAATAATAGAAATGGAAAGGTAAAATCTTTTGATAATCAAAAGAAGAAAAATAAAGTGGAAAGTGAGTGTGAAGATCAAGGGTTACCAAAATATTACAAATGTGGAAAGAGTGACCATGTAAGGGCTGAATGTCCTAACAAAGGACAAAGTAGAGAAAAAGCTTATGCAGTGGCTTGAAGTGGATCAGAAGATGAAATTGAAGATAACGAAAGTGAAATACAAGACTATATGGCATTTGCCGACCATGATGATGGTTCCTCTTCGTTAAGATCACACAAAGATGAGTTCGTTAAGAGAGAAGGAGCAAATGAATGGTATCTAGACAGCGGATGCTCTCACCATATGACGGGAAACAAGAGTCTCTTTTCAGAATTAACTCTTAAAAAGGGAGCTGACTATATCTCTGAGCATGAACGAGAGCAGAATGATGACAAGGATGATTTGGGACTAATTCGAGCGACGACAACCTTAGTCACTCAAGAAGCGGAGCTTTCACATGATAAGTTATCCAAATCCCAAGAGCCAAGTGCACCCCCACATATTGCTAAGGGCATCCTCCGCATCAAGTCATTGGCAACATCAATGATGGGGTCAAAACAAGATCAAGTAAGGACTTGTATCAAGGTCAGACTTCTTACTTTTCACTTCTTGCTACAGTCTATTTATCCTTAATTGAGCCTAAAAACGCTAAGGAAGCCTTACTTGATGAAAGTTGGGTTCTTGCTATGCAAAAAGAAATGCTTGAATTTGCTAGAGCTCAAGTATGGGACTTGGCTCCTAGACCAATAGGTAAAACTATTCTAGGACTTAAATGGGTCTATCGCAATAAAACGGATGATCAAGGGATAATTAATAGGAATAAGGCTATATTGGTGGCTAAAGGCTACAATCAAGAAGAAGGAATAGACTATGATGAAACATTTGCTCCCGTAGCTCGTATTGAGGCAATTAGACTATTATGTGCCTTTGTTCCTCAATGAATTTCAAATTATACCAAATGGATGTCAGAAGTGCATTTCTGAATGGAGTCCTTCATGAAGAGGTCTATGTAGAATAACCCCCTGGTTTTGAAGATCATAGGTACCCTAACCATATTTTCAAGCTTAAAAAGGCTCTCTATGGGTTAAAACAAGCTCCTCGAGCGTGGTATGAAAGTCAAACTCAGTTCCTAGAAAGTGAAGGGTTTGTCAAGGGTTCTGTTGATACAACTCTATTTCTTAAAAAACATAACAACGACCTTATGGTAGTCCAAATTTATGTTGATGACATAGTTTTTTGTGCTACCAATGAAGCTATGTGTGTACAGTTTGCCTCCTCCATGCAACAAAACTTTGAAATGAGTATGATGGGTGAGCTTACCTACTTCCTAGGACTTCAAATCCAACAAACTTCAAGAGGAATTTTCATTAGTCAGACAAACTATACTCTATGCTGACTAAGTTTGACCTTAGTAATCTTAATCCTAGTTCGACCCCAATGGCTACCAATATCCAACTAGACAAGGATGAAGGTGGTATAGATGTCGATGAACGTAAATATCGTGGGATGATAGGCTCGCTTCTCTATCTCACGGCAAGTAGGCCATACATTATGTTCAGTGTTTGTATGTGTGCTCGTTTTCAGTTCAAGCCTAAGGAAAGTCATCTTAGTGCCGTTAAACGCATCTTCCGTTCTTGAAAGGTACACCTACTTTAGGCCTATGGTATCCTAGGGAAACAGATCCTGAGCTTATGGGGTTTAGTGATTCACACTTTGCCGGTAGTATAACGGATAGAAAAAGTACCTCTGAAACCTGTCAATTTTATGGTCGATCCTTAATTTCGTGGTTTAGTAAGAAACAACACTCGGTGGCCCTCTCCACCGCTGAGGCTGAGTATATTGCCGCAGGAAGTTGTTGTCAACAACTTCTATGGTTAAGGACTCAACTAGCGGATTATGGGATTATGCCTTCTACCGTTCCCATTTTGTGTGATAATACGAGTGCTATTAATATGTCCAAAAATCCAGTTCAACACTCTAGAACAAAACATATAGAGATTAAATATCATTTCCTTCGAGAGCTAGTTCAGAGTAAAATCGTGTCTATCTCCTTTATACCTACGAGAGATCAACTAGTGGATATTTTTACTAAACCACTACCTATAGATCAATTTCTATTTATTCGCAGTGGGTTAGGAATGATAATCCGATCTTGCTAGTTTTGGATCCTGAACTTATCTTTTCTTGATTGTTCATTTACTTCTTTGTCTTTCCCTTTGTGTTAGTGTAGTAACCTATCTAATAAAGTTAGAAAATAAATCATACTAAAAACAATTAATTAAATACATAAATAAATAAATAAAGGGAAAACAAAACCAAAACGACAATCTCCTGCTGCGCGAAGACCTCATTTTTTTCAGCAAGCAGTCTCGAAGCTTCCTCTGCGAAACCCTTCCCCTTTCTTCTCTGATTATGCTGTCAATTCGTATCATCCTCGCTGATTCTTGCCCATCGCTTCCGTCGCATCCTCCTGTATTCCAATCTCCGGACAGATGGGCTCGCAACGGGCAAATTTTTCACTGTGCTATATGGTCAATTGCTTACCCTTTCGGTTGATGATCTTGCTGCATTCCTTGTTCTGCCTACTAGAGGCAAGCAGCTCATTAGTCCTCTGGAGTTCTGGTCCTACAAGTTTGACTTGCGCCAGGAGGCCACAAATCGCTCCTTTGATTCGCTGGATGATTCACTCAAGCTTCTACACTACTACATCACACGAGTGTACTTTCCTCGCGTTGAGCGCTTGGATGTTGTTCTACCTCTTGATTGATGGGTTATGTCTCACGCCATCTCCGATATGTCGTTGAGCTATCCTGATTTGCTGTTTGGGGCACTCGTAGATGCTGCTGCCAGCGAATCTCCCCCTGTTGGTCTTCCTTTTGCTACACTAATTACGCTGCTGCTTCAGCGTCTCGGTGTACCTCTGGCTGACTTAGTCACCATTTCTGATAATGGTGTTCATCCCACCATCGATGAGGTGCTACCTGTGGTGGGAATACCCCCCATTGTTGATTTATCATCAGGGGGAGATGACCATGGTGATGTGGCCACAGACGCATCAGTTAGAGAAAGAGGCGATGAGCTCGCCAAAGACGAGGCGTCCGTGGATGGTAGTGCATCTGCTTCGGCCTCTGTCCGCCCCTTCAAGCTCAAGCGACAGGCTAAAGGACCTCGTCCATCTAGCAGAGTTCTCAAGCGTCTCAATAATAAAAAACCAGCTCAAGGAGTGGTTCTTTATGAGAATCACGATCTTGAGCAAAAAAATTAAAAGCCTTAATTTAGGGGGAGCTTGGGTTTAGGGGGAGCTGGTTTTGAGTTGTTGCTTGTTGCTGTTTTGAATGGTTTATTTGAATTGCTGCTTTTAAGGTCAGGGGGAGTATTGAATTATGTCTCTTATTTGCATTGTTGAGTGTTTTGATTGAATAATGCCCTGAGCTATACTCAGGATGAATGGAGTAATATGTTTTCTCAATGATTTGCAGCGTAGGACGAATGGTGATTAAATAACTTTCGTTATTTAAATCTTGAGCTTTATGGTGAATGAAGCATATCCAGTAACAAGATGCTAAATCAAGCTTAGGGGGAGAATATTGAGTCAACAAGCTTGACTTAGCGTATTAAATACCATAGGATATTTTGTTTTGAATATATTCTATTATGTTGAACTAACAATCTATGCAGAAATATCACAATCAATGTTGAGGTAAAAGGAAATAATTCAAAGTGATTGCTTTCCCTCAAAGGAGTTGACATATCAAGCAAAAGGTGTATCAAATCAAGGAGATACTTGCCACGTAAAGGACTACAAATGAAAGGAAATGAAGGCTCACATCCACTATAAATAGGAGAGTCATTTGTAGGCCAATATACCTTTTTCAAAGTTCTCTTCTCCCTTGTAATAGCGAAATTGGGTGATCATATTTCGTGATGTGAATAGCTTGATATCTCGGGGGTTGAGATATTCAAGCTAGGTCGGGTTTTAGGGTAGAAAGGGTTTTTGTAATTGGGACTAGTGCAAGAGCAAGAGGGGATTCTTGCTTGGGAGTTGCACTAGGTGGATTACTCTTCAATCAAGTCAAACTAAGAGTGTTGGCTTGATTGATTGAGTCGGTAGCTTAGCTTTGATTTAGCTAAGGGTTGAATAGGTGTGGAGTTGGCACCTATTTGGTTCTTGACACGAAGTGTCAAGGTTGTTTCAATTTCATAGGTTAGAGAGTCTTTTACTTTAATAAAAGTTAGAGTCTCTCGTGAGATAGTGGTAACTATCTCCGGGGCGTGGATGTAAAGCCATATTGGCCGAACCACGTTAAAATCGCGTGTCCCGACCCATCTCTCTCTCTCTATATATCTTTTCTGACTTTGTTCTCTTCATCAATGCCAAAAAATTAATCACTTCAAGAGAGATTCGTGGCAAGTCCTTTTGGATTGCTCAATCAAGCTAGTGCTAATCTCTCACTATTGAAATCAGAATTAATTTGTGCATTGACCACGTCAAAAGTATTCATTATTGACCTCGCTTGGTCCAACAGAGTGGTCGGAGATCTGTGTGAGACTGTTAGGACGGGTTTTTTATGATCTTTCCGGCGGTGTCATTAGGATTGGTTGGCTCAGTGATGAATGCAATCATCTGCCGACAAATGCATCATGGGAAACTACAGAGCAGTTTGCACGAGCTTATACTCTATCTCTGATGGGAGGTGTATTGTTACCGGATCGGTCTGGAACTACGGTGCATCTATAATACCTACTTTTGGTGGAGGATTGGCAGAGAGCTGGACGTTCCATCTGGGGAGCAGCTATTTTAGCCTACTTGTACCGTGACATGGGTAGGTCGGTTTTGCACATTGCACATTCCTCTTCCATCTATACAAGGTCCGTAAGCCCAGAATACTCGCTGAAAGATCAAATGATCTGGTTGCGATGAATGAACTCTTACGCAATCAATCACTAATGTTGGCATTTTTCTCTTTACCACCCGCAAGAATGTTTGCAAATAATCGTAGGATTCTTCCCAATTTCCATGCAAATTCTCCAATGCTCTTTGTTTCCCATACCAAGCCTTCTTGTAAGTAACTTGCATATTAAACTTATCTTTCAACTCGGCATGCACAGTTAGAACACTCATATTTGGTTAGGCACGTACCAAATACTTCACGGACTCATATATAACATCGACATCAAGATGGCGATGATCCGCCGGTTGAGTCATACTGCTACAAGAATGCACCATCTCGACCTTTCTCACAGTCCATTCGCTTCCAACATCTCGACATCCAAACCGCACCATCCAATTACAATTGTCATCCTTGTCCTTCAAACATCTAATAATACACACCAAATAAGCTATAATACACAATCAACTAAACTAAAACTATCACCAAACCAGCACACTCAACATGGAAAAAGGAAATAAAGAAACTCTAAACATAACATGAACTAACTCATCAAAACCACAAAACAAAACCAACGTACTAGTACATGAGTAAAAAACAACCAGACAATACATAACGATTCCCAAGCGAACACCAATCTTTTCACTTGTCCTGATTTCAATTGTTTACAATTAAGAAAGTCAACATATCAATCAATAACAATTGTACACACACAATTCCCATGTGTCAGTGTCTCTATGTCATTCCTACGCAAGGAATGACATCCATCCAGGCCAATGAAGACAAGTTGTTTCCTAGTTTACACATTTCAATAACTAACAAAAACAACATAAATTAACACTATATAAATACAAATGTAAACATGAGGAATTTTACAATGCTATATAGTATTGGTGCTATAGGTTTTTGCCTTTATGGTACAACTTGAAATTGTACATTTAAAGTTATGGTACAACTTTGGATTATACCTATACTGTTTGTACAAATTCTTTTATGGTACAACTTGAACTTGTACCTTTATGTGATGGTACAACTTCAAGTTGTAAAGTTGTACCATAACATAATGGTACAAATTCTTTTATGGTACAATCTAAACTTATACATTTCATGTTATGGTACAACTTTAAGTTGTACATTAAAGCACCAATACTATATAGCATAGTAGAAATGCTTACGTAAACAATCACTTTTCATGCAAAGCGTACACAAGCACTTACAAGTTTTCGTTGTCCCATGCATATCGCAACACAACCTGCTTTAGCAAATCATCATCATCAGCTGGTGGCCCTACTACATTCTTCTCCCTCATTTTTTTTTTGTGATTTTCAAACCACACGATAATTTAGATAAAGCAATACAGAAAATAACCAAAGCAAAAAATCATTATAACCTTTTTTGTCGTCAACTCTATTGTTAATTTATCAAGAGAAACAACATCTTCGTCATGGACAATCTCAATAACTGGTACTCTCTTGGCATACTTTTCACAAGCCACCTTCTTGGAAGTCATCTCCATTGTCAGATCGAGCCAACAAACATCCGCATCTCCACCATCCTTCTCAGGCGGTACTCCCTTCTCGGTATTCTTGCCTCCAATATCTGGAGACAAATCATGGGTTTCCTTCCCCAACATCATCATTCTCATCAACATCAAAATTTTCCTCACCATCTCCTGCAGGATCAGATCAATGGGGAAAACTAGTTTCCAACTCATTAGGGACAAATTTAGAGAGCTACAAAACAACACAGATCTCCTACATACTTATCTACATCATAGGTCTCCTACATAATTATCTACTTCTCTCAGTACTGGAACTTGCCATGAACTAAAAAGGTTTATGATGACGATTTATGAAACTACTGGTATATATGATCAGGTTTGTGATGCAATTTACAAAACTTGTGACCTACATGTTCAGGTTGTTGATGGAACTTACTGTCTGGTCCGTGAGATATTATATAACACAGTTGTGTGGTGGTTTACGGGATGGTTAATCAAATTTGTGGAATGAATTGGACGAAAAAAGGAAAAGCTTACCTTCAGGATCTCCATCACACTCAGAGTTCAAAACTAAAATCTCATTAGGATCTTCAATCTCTGTTGATCAATCAGAAGTTGAAGAAATAGATACCAGCTGGCTCCGATCCTCAGATTCAGACGAGTTAAAATCAACGTCTTCCTCCATCGCAGATCAAGCTGAAACAACATCCTTGACTTCATCCATTGCCGACGTTCTTTACTCAATTCCTTTGTTTCTCGATATCGCTTGCCGCACAGAACTGTCGCTCTATTTTCTCGAAAGAAAGCAACTCAACCCCCAACCCCCCCCGGTTAAAAGTTCAAACCTACACTCAATTCCACAACGACATCTCTCCTAACACAAATCTTGAAAGGAAAACAGAGATCCAAAGGCGAAGCGCGAGAAACCCGCCATTTGAATTAATTATTCAAAATTACTAGCGTGCCCCTCCGTGTGAAACTCTTTGTAAATCCAAGTCAACCGTCATTTAATGAAAAGTGAGCCCAATTCTGCGATCCTATTGGCTGCGAGGTGTGTTAGCATGGTGCTAACAGAAAAACTGTTAGCACCCTAGCCGAATACGTGGTGGACTCCTTTTTGTTAGTTGTTTTTCTCTATAAACATTTTTTTTCTAGAAAATCCCGTGCTTAAAAGCATTTTTCTTTAGATAATAATTTTAGTCACTAGAAATTGTATGCCGTGACCAGTTATAGTACCGTGACTAGTTATAACTAACGAAATGCATTGATCACCAATTCTTTTCTGAACACCACATCATAGCACTGTATGTAGTGCATAAAACCCACCACTATCAAATCTCACATTGATTCACACCTCCTTAGTTTACAAAATTTGTTTGACCGAGATAAATCGAGCATTGTCTGAGTTGATCGAAAGTGTAAAAGAGTGGAAATTTCATTTCGGTCGACGGTCAAATGTGGGGTAGAGAAGAGGAGGGGTGAGAAGTTGGTTAGCTCCTCCACCTTTTAGACAATCTTGGATTGCAAATCGTTAGAAAGTTGGTTGCTTTTTCTCCCTTTTAATCTCCTCAAAAGAAGCGGATTGCCCAAAGCCAAAGACAAAGGAATGATTGTCAATTCAGTTTCTTTTCTTTTTCTCGTTAATTATGAACCCTTTTCCTTTCTTTCAATCATGGTAGAATTCGAAAAGGTGGGCTCAATTCTTAATTTGCCATATTGAGTAGCTTTTGAAAGTGATTTGCTACAAAAGAATTTGGAAGTTTGTGAAATGAACTCCACTTGATTTTATTGGTGTTTCAATTTGTGCTAATCAGCCACGTGGTTTTTTTTATTGGCAGCCACATGGTTATAGTTAAGTATGCATTGTAGTTTTTGGCTTGGATCACAATGTTCGTAAATTTGATTTGGATTTGTCTTTTTTAGTCAATCTTTAATTGGGTTGAACATTACACCAAATTACAAATGATATATCTGTTTGTGAGCAAATGACAGCACAAGAATCTTTAATAAATTACATTTTAGGTAGTTACAAGAATCTATTATTTACAATTATCTTTCTTTCTCTCACTTCCATAATCTCCAGCCAGATTCTCTTTCCTTATTTTTCTCAATCTTTCTGCAAAAAAAAAAAAAAAAAAAACACGAAATCACTACCAATCCATTAGACAACCACTATCATTTTGAAAAATATCAATACCATTGCAGAAATAAATATATACCATTACACGAAAACTACCAATATA